ATCAGTCCCGTTTCCCCCGGTCCCCCCCCCCTCCTGCCCAACCCCCGATCACCCGCGACCTGTCCCACCGGAGGGGGATCGGCGCCTGATCTGCGAGCCCCGCTCGATCAGCTCGATCCGCGCATCGGTGATTTAGATAACCCGTGTGTCACCTGTCCGCCAGTGTCAGCGCGCGCGGCACAGGGTAGGAGCGGGGGGCAGCAGGGACAGAAGCAGCAGCAGCGGCAGCCGCCCGTAGGACACTGAATATGGACCAGTCGATTCGTCGTCTCGCCCGCAAATGGACACCCACTCCCGCAGAAACGCGTTTCACTCTCGGTTTGCGCGCCGCACTCTCCTCCCCGTTCACTTTCGCCCGCGGCGGCGAGCTCCTACGAGAACATATCGACGACGACGACGAGTCAGCGAGGTGTGTGCCGTTTGATCGAGCGCTCGCGCCGCGCGACAAATGGGATTCCCTCTCGCGGCCCGCCGTCAACGGCCGAGGTACGTCGCGGCCTCCCCCGCCTTCCTTTAGCCGACGAACGTTAAAATCCAGCCGCGCGCCCGATTTTTCAGCCTCGATCCCGGAAACGGCTCGCCGATTATCATTTCACAACGCTCCAGATTCCGGAGAGAGAAAGAGAGAGAGTGAGAGACCCGAGATCGGACACACTGTTCGAGTCCTAAGGCGCGGTAGCCGCCACTTGGAAACTTTTAATGTCCGAGTGCCGCGGCATTCCGGGACGCCGGCGGTCGAGCTTTCGACTTGGCGGAATTGCGCTCCCCTCTCGCTTTCTCTCTTCGCGGCAACAATTAGCAGCCGGCGCGGTTATTAGATTTCGGATCGGACGCTCGGGACTCGAGTTTATTCGTTCCTCAAACGTACGTACCTCGCGACGTCCGAGTTTCCGTCTCGAAATCGCCGACGCGCGCCGCGCGAAATTACATCTCGCGCGAGTAACCTGAAAACGTTGGCGCGCTTCAAACTCCCGGCTCGGGGCTCTCAGGCCCGACAGACGGGCTCCGGCTTGTTTCGCGCGCGACGACACGCCGATCCGCGACGCCCCACGGTCAATTTTTCAAACTGACAGCCAATTCCGCGGGAATCGTCGCCGATCTTTCTCCGGCCTTTCGAAAAGTCGCGGAACCCCCCACCGGACAAAAAGAACCGAGCGGCGTACCTCGAGAGCGCGATTTCCCACGAAGATGCACGCACATCGATCGTCGTGCGCTACCGAGCCGTCCTCTCGCTCGCCCGAGGAGCCCAGGAACGCGACGACGCGGCGAGTCGACGGGATCTCACGCCGCGGGTCGGCGGGAACTCGCGCCTGAAATTCGAACGCCGTCGTGGCACGAGCGGCCGATGCGATGCGAGACGCGCGACGCTACGCGCGGGGCGACCATATCGGTTACGGCGCGGTGGCCGCGCCGCGGAATCCGCGATAATTCACCTAACCTCACTCCGCGACAGCGCCAAGCCTACTGAGGAGACTAGAACGCAGTACGCTCCGTGGCGGCGACGGCGGCGGCGGCCAATGAGCCAGCCTGCCGCCCGCCGCGGGAGTGGGGGAGAAGCGCGCCATCCGATGACGTCACGCGGCGCGCGCGCGCCTCGCGCCCTACCTTGCCGACCGCGCCGCCCGCCGCCGCGCGCGCGGCGCGACGGCATATTCGATTGTCGCGTAATATCGGGGGAGATGATTTTTCAAATGCAGAGCCCGCTTCAGCCGGACGCGGATGACGTCGGTTTCTTTTTCCAGAGTGCGCGCCGTCGCCGATTATATTTCGCTCGCGCCGTAAATCACGAGATTACAGCCGCGTGAATTATTTACGTATTGTGTGTTCGCGCCAGCCCCTTTTTAACGAGGCGGGGGGGGAGGAGGGGAGGGGGTAATATGTATAACCAAAATATTTCTACGTGCATTATGTATGCGCGTTAAACTTGTCAAAGTGAATAAATGAATCGGGACCGATGGAAGTGTAAATCAGTTGAGAATTATGTCAATTACTGATATCGCAGTGCTGGTTGCTCGCAGCCCGGTAATGTGCGAATAGGGAACCAAGATACGACGGCCATGACAGCTTTTTCAAATGCAATACGGCGCGCGGTTTGCCGCATTTGGAACAAGTGCGCAAAAGTTAACGCGATATTGTTGGGCTACGAAGAACCAGAATTGTTGCGCATTCTATAAAGATTTAATATACGTACATGTATATGCGTATTCATATATTTTATAAATTCTCCTTTCTAAAAAAGCGATGTCACCAGCGCGAATGTCGTTAATATCGAACAGTTGAGGCCTCTTTTCCGCGATGTCGATTGGTTTTCTCGAAGCGCGGTGTGCTTCACTTCTCTTTTAGATTCATAGTGAATGAAGATTTGCAATTTAGAAATATACATTTGTATGCATCAACTATTGAAGTAAAATCTCAAATCTCAGTAATTAGAATTTAAGTAACAATGATTTTCGTTTCGAAACATTTTCTCGATTGAACAGAATTAATCGTTAATTTAATCAATACCAATAAGTCCGCGGAATAATAGCAAAACGTAGCAACAGTCACGGAACAACGTAATGTACAATAAAATATTAAGTACGGAATTTTCCATTGCGTAGGCAGGCCAACGAATTCTCAACGTTTTCTTGTTGTTTTTCACTCGGCGCGGTATCGTACGACGACGTTTTTTTTGTTGTTTTTCACTCGGCACTGTATCGTACGACGTTACGCGGGCCAATGTTTTCCTGAAGGTCGCCGCGCAATCACTCGCTCGCCGAACGTCGAGCCGGCAAGCAGTGGCGAGAGTCGCTCCGTGCGTGTTATTACTTTTGCGTTATCGGTTTCCAAGACTCGATCGCGATGAATGCAGGGATAAAACATTATTGATTTGCACACCTTTATCAGTAACAAGTAACGTTCCTTGATTAATCGTTAAGTTTTTACAACTTGCAAAGAGAAACGAATTGTATATTGAGGCGACGGTTCTTTATCAACGTGTACGTAGATATTTCACGAGATTAACTCATCTAAAATATGAATGTAAACCGTGGTACTTTGTCGCGGTTACATCTCGTTTACGCACCGCGCTTTTAATTATCTGTCGATTTCGTGTAATCTGTTCCATTTTCGGGAAAAAAGAGAAATTTGTACGACTTCGCTCTGTCGTTCTTCGCAACTCGAACGGGAAGTAAAGAAAGTCGCTTATTGCACGTCGTTACATTATTTCTTTGCCGCAGATTATGCTTCCGATGCTCGCGTTGCGTTTTATATCGCCAATTCGAAAGTGATTTATATCCATTGTCCTATTCTTCCGAATAAAAAATGCAAGTTGTTAGTTCGAGTAATTTGTATGACAGAAAGTCTTGGAAACCGATAACGCAGAAGTTAATAATATTTCGTGTGTTCGCGGTATTTCACATCGCGTACGGGAGTGCCGGAAATTCCGCGCGATCGATGATTTTCGCGAGTGAGTGTTGTATAAGTGCAACAAGGAAATCTGAGAGGAGGAGGAGGCCGAGGAGGCATCGGGCAACGGCGGGGAAATCGTAAGGTAAGTGTCTTACATTTTTATGTTATTTAATTGTTACCTGTGCAAAATAAAGCATCTGTTCTGTGTTTTTATTTTATTTATTCAAATGATTCGAACGAGGAGTCGAATAAGTGTTAGAGACAAAACCAATGTATAAAATTTTGTGAATTTATATTTAAAAGGAAGACTTTTTCAGTATTTTAAAATTCAGTATTTTTAAAAATATAAAATATGAAGCATATTTAGTACAATAATTTCGATTTGACACAATTAGTCTATACTAATCATATACATATTTGTATTTTTACAGTTTAACATGCATGATGTACAACTCTGCGGTTGCGAACCGTATCAGTGAGTGATAAATTACTTTTTATTTTAAATTGACGTTGCGCATACAATTACTTCATTGCATGTATAGATATTCTTAAAAATATACAATGCTCAACTACAAACTGCGCGCGCGAAGCGCGCGTTTGGTCATCTCTAGTTACTGTAAACTGAATGTTTGCGATCGATCGGCACGAATGGTCAATTAATTAAAAGACTCGTGATATTAAAATTAATGAGTAACAAGGAAAAGTGGGCTTTGAGAGTCACACGTCGCGTCTGTTGTGCGCGAGTTAATTATTGTTTAACGTTTAATTAATAATTTAATGCAGCTCGGTGAATAAGCGAATGTGGCATTTACGTTGCATAGATTTAGAGGCTACCCTGCATCTATCGTAAGGTATTAATCGTAAGCGATCGTAATCGTGAGAAAGAAAGAGCCTGTCGTAAACATTGTCCGTATACGTAATTCGTAATGTGTCATAAACCGCGCTGACAATTTCATACCATCGGTGTTTTCATCGTTTACGACAGTCGTAAAGGACTTGTGATAGGTTTTACACTGTAGAGTAGCTTTGCTAACATAGATGTAACATGTGGCCACCCAAACAACGCATATGTTTAAAAGGCATCTTTAAAACGTCTTTAAGTCATCTTTTAGATATGCACATCTAAAAGACTTTTAAATACTTTTATGTTACTATGTGACTGCAGTCACATACATAACACTATAGTGGATATAACGCTGCTACAAACTTGGTTTACTGGGAAATTATAATATAAATCGTTTCGGCTCCACTTTGAGTCATCTTAGCCACGTGGAGATAAATAAATGAAATAATAAGTTTACATTTGCCGACGAGCGTAAGGCAAGTATTTTGAAAATTAAATGTACGAAGACAATGTAACTTCAGGAGGAAAAATTCTGATATTCACAGTCCGCAAGATATTCCGACTAGAAATAAAAATCGGACTCGAAGAAAAGTGGAATGCACTCACCAAGCCAAATTCGGAAAATGTGAGACTGTAGCTTTGGAAAAGACATCGGAAACTGATTGATTGATTGTTTATCAACTCCGGTTGTTGTCGCAGGAATTTTCGTCAATTCTGTCAGGTGCATTCATGCGTCGCTTAAAAATGTATAAAAGTAACTAATATATAGAGAGGAATAAAATATATTATCTGTCATAATATCTTAGAAATTTGATGAAAATATGAGACAGCAAAATTACAATCTTCTCGTCGTCTTTCAATTTTAACGTCCTGATTAATAAGTTTTTAAATGTTTTACAAAAATACACACTGAAATTACTTAGACAACAAGACGTTTGATACGAGATGAGACAATCACGTAGGTGGGGCAATCGTTAGTTAAAACGTAATTTACATACTATTCTATAAAACGCATGCAACGTACGAAACGCGCGATTATCACGCCAGACATATTATATGGATCTCATTCGATTGATCCATAGGCAACAATTCGTTGCACGATACTACGTACTAGTTGTCGATTCAGGTACGATGCGGTTAGAATGTAATGTACTCGCTGTTTCTGCAACCACGCCGTACTTACGTGCATACAGCCTCGTCGATTATTCCTCAATCGATTAACAAAGATAGGAAATTTCTCGCCTCTACAATTCTGCGCATTATTTGGCATTCAGCGTCGTTTACGAGAGCCGGGAAATTTTTCGCCTAATAGCTTTATGAATAAATCTATAAATAATTTATAGAAACCAAATGCAAATTAAAACGACTTGCGTATCACGAAGAGTAGCGATTGAATTAAAACGAACTCGTTACCAATAATTTATTAACATTAAGTTAAAATATAATTTATTACACAGTTAGATTAAAACACGCGATAAAACCATTCCTAATTTAGTTCTTATAATCCTCTTCTAGCAGAGAATCAGTAACTTATAATTATTTTAATTAGTACTAATTAGTATATTAATGTGTATTAATGAGAATATAATGTATACATATAAGTAATGTATGTATAATATCTATTATAATTTATCTAGTATTATATCTAATATTAAATATGTCGTACTACATCTAGTATTTTTGTGCGCAACTTGTTAAAACAAAACTTGTTAAAAACAAAAGAATCTAATTGTATATAAAAGTTTTTTTCAAATAACAACATAGTTATTGAAACATTATTAAAAATATGTAATGTTTAAACGCTAACAGTTCAGGTTCAGATTACGACATGCAATTAAAATATAATTAAAATAGTCAAAGCACGTAAAGAAACACATTAATTTTTTACATAGACGTAACAAGAACAGACTGTGCATTCCCCACTTCTCCCGTGCGTTGAGAAAATGTACGAATTAAAAACACGATCCACAATAGCCGTAAGTTGTCAGTTGCGATAGCCAGTGAGCTTTACATATGAAACTCGACGATCATTCGCTGCCGCAAGTCACAACTGGCAATTTGCAACTGTTGTAGACCGAACTTTAGAAAAGGACAGCTGCTTTCGCCTAATCTTTGTCTAATGAATAATAGATAGATTATAGAAAGAGAAAGATGAAGATTAACGTGTCTCTTTCTATAGTGTACATCTCTTCAGCCGAACGCGCAGTCTATTGTCGTTATGTCTATGACTTTTTAAATACATTTTGTTTGTAATTTATGCGAGACACCAACACCACCTCTTTAAAACAAACTTGGAACATTGAATTCCCTGTCATGCGCGTCATATTTTGGTGAAAGTTACCAAAGTGAGAAGTCATTTTTTGCAACTTTTACTCTACGATGGGATACGCAACTTCAATCCCTGAAATTTAACTTATTAACGTTATAATGTATTACATTTTTAATATCATGTTATTTACAATGGCACTTACAAATAAATGTTTTAATTACTTTCATATCTTACTTCTTTCCGCTTAGCTTTTCATATCTTACATGCAAACATGTGAATCTACAATGGATTTTTCAACCTAAAAATGTCTAGCTCAAAATTTTTCCGATTTTTCTGTACGTCTCTCTGAAAATAATGACTGGAAGATAATAATGTTCTTGATTTGGAGAATGATTGTTATTTCAAAATACACGATTTGCAAGATTTCCGAGGCAAAGCGTAATAAAAAAAAATGCACCTGGCAATCGTTCCAGCACCAGCGCAATTTTTCCGCTTAACAAATCATAATTTAATTCGATATTCCTGTGCCGTATGGTCTTCCAGATTTATCGGGGCCGAATGACGATGCATTAGCGATAGAAGAGTACGGAAACGAGATGAGGGTAACGAAACGAGGGTGGAAAATCGAGAGGAAACGCTGACTAACCCTCCGTCTTTAAGTCCTCCTTCTACGCTCCTTTTCCTTCTCTCATCTCCCTCGCGCCCCTCCCTCATTTCCTTCTCCAACGAGGCCCCTCAAGACGCGATAACGAATCAATTGAGATCTGAATCGAGCCCAAATTCAGATAAGTAGAACCCAGACGCCAACTAAATAGGTAAGAAACTGCGATGGGGATAACGAGAATTCAAGAACTGTTAATATCACTCATTAAGTCTCTCCACTTATGATTACTATTACTGCAGTTTTGTGTATTGAGAAAGGCTCAACGAAAAAGTACTTCAGGTACAATCTTTGGAGAAGCAAAAATTGAAATTGAAATGTTACTTTACGCTATCAATTTCTCGAGCTTTAGTAAAGGGGACTTTCTGAGACTTGGTTTAAATAAAAAGAAAAAAAAAGCTGAAACGAACCCAACGATCTGAGAGATCCCCTGTAACGAGGCGAACGGTCCTGATCATCTCGAACGAATTAATTTGTCGTTAATTGCAACATATCCCTGAGACGCAACACGATTTTGGACACGAATTCTTGAAGAATTGGTTGTCTCGCTTTTCCCACGTCCATCACCTCCTCGTGGTTCGCCTCACAGTGATCTCCGTAATCAGTGACGCACTGATTGGTGATTAAACTGAACGTGAATACGGTGAGATCGCAATGCCGTGCGGTGATCACCTCGTGAACCGTGGACATTCCTTAAAATTGTGATATCACGTGTGTTATTATATGTACATAAAAATATACACAGAAAGAAAGGATATCCTTCTTTTGAAAATATGTTTAGCTTCAATGTGAAAATCTTGAAATGAGATTATATTGCGTTAAAGGGAGGAAAATTTACTCAAATGAAGCAATTTTCTATAATCCGATCAAGAAAACTATATGCTTATTATTTGAGAATAATTTTCTTGAACGAAAAGGAAACAATATTGGATAGAAAATAACATATTTTCAAATCGAAGATTACGACGATTAAAACGAATTTATTGCCAAAATAATTATGTGTTCTTAAAGTGACACTTATAGTATTTAAATAAGACTGTTATATTTTTTGGAATGTAAGATTATTAAATGTTTCTAAGAAGATTATAGATTGTTGAGTACATACAAAACAATGACGCGTTAATTTGAGTATATAAGAGTCGATCTGACACTTTTTTTCTGTGTAGAAGAAACGTACCACGTGTATAATATAGAAATACAATTTAACAATCGAAAATACAAATAAGTTTGCAACGTGAGGAAAGTGAAATTGAAATATAAAGACGGCGGAAGAGAAAGAATTAACGTTTCTAATACGTCTATTCCGTCCCATTAGAGACGTTAGTCGTGTAATTACACGTTAATGTCTCTAATAGGACAGAATGCGACCATTTATCACTGACAGAATTAATAGTACTCGCTATCTTCCCTAGTAAAAATTATTAGATGGATTATTTCTTTAATTATTAATACTTTTATCCACCTATTTTGAAGCAAAATGTATTTTAAAGTAAAGATACAACCGTTCATAACAGTTTTATAATAAGACTGAATTTATCATTACATAGTAAAGGTCATTCTGTTTGTGTGTGTGTGGGTGTGTGTGTCTCATTCATTCCATAAATTTAATTGCCCCACACGACGTTATGCAGATAAGGGGACGAGTATTTGCAAAACATGTTAAATCCATCGTAAGCTTCTTTGCAACACAAAAACTTAATTGCTTATCTATGAATCAGCACACATGTGATATTATACTCGGATATCACCGTGTCAGCACTGAATGTCTGTAACACGTAGAAGAGATTTTAAATGTTTTCAAAATATCAAAATGTTTCGATAAACTTATTTGTCGTGTAATGTGCACAAAAGTGTATGCCAATATTTTCTTTCACAACTGTCAAATAATTTGGAAACGAAATAATTGAAAGTCTGGAGCTTCTGAGCCACAATGAGCATTATATGAGTGACGCGTTTAATACAATTGACCGATTTAATATTGAAAAATAACTGCGGCGTACCAACTGCATCGACGCCGACCATTCGTAACATCTTCAATTCTGCCACCGTCTCGAAATTGGGTCCACCCAAACACGTGTAAACTCCCTTGTGTACGATATCGCCAATACCCATCTCTTCAGCTACCTGTCTACCGATCTCCATCAACGTGGCATTGTAAGCCTTGTTCATGGGCGGGAATCGAGGGCCAAATCTAAAAACCAACGTAACAAACGTGCTAAGAACAAAAGAAAATCGCAATAATAAATAATAATTGGATAACAAAATCCCGAACTTTGTATCCCGCGTAAATATTTCGAATTTTTATTTAATTTAATTTCCTGCCGTTCTTGTGAAAGAAGGAACAATACATTTCTTCGATTCATTCTAAATTAAAACGCTGACAAGCGTTTAATGAAAAAATCTGTAGAAATTCACGTTATTAATAAATTCATAACGCTTTCGTTATAATTTCCACGGGCAAAACTATTTGTACCGATAGATACTTGTCAGCTCTGTAAAGTTTTTCTACGCTCTATTTTATTTCCCTTCATCTACCTCGTCTCTACCACTTTCTCGTCCGACTCTGTTCGTCAACTTTTCTACTTTCTACATTTTTTTCATCAATGTCTCCTTCAAATCTCGTAACAATTTCCGCTTTCGTCACGGCCGATTATAAAGGCATCACCTTTCCTAAGTTTTCTTGCACAATCTCGTATAACTTTGCTATACTTGTGTCGCATATATTGGTAAGGAAATTGGCGAAGAGCGCGTATCCCACCTGTCGTCATTTGGTCCTTGAAGCGGGTTGTTGCCGGCAAAACCCATCATATTCACATGATCCTTCACTATCATGATATCGCCTACTTTGTAAGTGGGATTTAGACCGCCGGCCGCGTTCGTAGCGATTAGATGCGTCACCCCTACCAGCTTCATCACCCTCACCGGCATGGCACACTGCGAGCAATCGTTGTTACGTGCCTCGATACCTTACGTTTGTTTTACTCAGAGATTGTAATTACTGCGGCCAATCATACCTTCCAGAGTGGATAGCCTTCGTAATAATGAAACCTGCCCTGCATGCACATGACTGGTACGCCTTGAAGATAACCGAAGACCATCTGGCCGGTATGGCCTTTTACCGTAGATACCGGAAAATGTGGGATTTCTTCGTAGGGGAAGCATTGCTTGTCCACGAGGGATTCCGCGATCGAACCTGGACACAACTCGTTTTGCTCAAATGATCCTGTTTAGGAATAAACAAAGCTGTGATAGGACAAACCGTCACCGCTGATCCCGCAGGGCCGTTTAGAATTGTTCAAAGCAACGTACGCGCACTCGCATAAACTGTCGTTAAACCCGATAATCTTCAATGAACACATTTCTGAGTAATTTACTGGGTAGATTTGAACACTAAGCGAGCGAAACAATCTTGCAGAAATTATTCGTACTTTTTTCAAAGTACCCAGAGAATAGAACAACAGCGATAAGTAACATTATTAAATATTCTATTCTTGAAGATCTTGTAATACGCCTCGTCGATTAATTTTTCCTTTCCTAAAGCCATAATCGATTCCAAAAAAAAGTAAATTAATTTGTTCCCCTGACAACTTTGGAATGATTTATATTATAATAACTTTATTTTAATCTGCGCGCGCAACACTCTTGCATAGTCAAACGTGGCAATTCATGCTTTAATGTGTTTGCTTTCTTAACATAATTAAAGTTAATACGTAACAATGTAAACATCAGAATCCGATAGCTGTGTTTAATGCCGAGCGACACATAAGCGTGAAATCAAGGCGTGAGATACATACAAGCGTGGAGTCGTGACCAAGCAGACGTTACTAATTTTTGTTGTAAAAATTTATATTATACAAATAATAGAATAGAAATGTCATGGACTATATTTTAAAATCAGTTCACGACTTTGTATCACGACAAACTTATCTTTACAGCCACAAAATCCGCAGGGCTGATGACGAAACGTGGACAAGTTAGCTTCAGAATCACCGTATACATTAAAACAAATAACACGCAGGAATTTAAAATATTGCGTTACTATCTTGTTGTTTTTATAAAAATTCTTTAATTGTGTCAAATATATTTTTTTTACCAAAATTATTTTATCCAGAATAAAGACGATAGAGTATTTTGACATCTTACGCCGCCAAGTAAAACATATCAGTTAAACTCGATTAAATAAACGAACACACAAGATCCATGAACTCTCAAAGATGTTAATCGACAAAGAACGTCGTTACACATTGAATGCGCAATTATTGGTTTTGGATTAGTAATGGATTAGTGGTGTCGATTTACATGTTCAATGAATAAGATTGTATCATTTTAGAATCCAATTGTGAACGAATCTTGTACGTAAAGCACATATAAAGCTTAAGAAAAAAATACTACTAACCCATTCCCGAACCGCATATAATCCCTATCTTCGGCCTAGTCTTGATGCGATCCAGCAAGTATTGCGCTGATTCCTGAAACGTTTCGAAGGTGTACCTGAAATATAACGTGCGTTTTGTATATTTATTGTAACAAATATAAACGCACATTATGAAGTCTTCAAAATCGTGTGTTTATGTTAAATACCACTTCTATACAATCTCTTCTATTATAGCAACTCGATAAAGATGTTTCATTAAAAAATATACATAAGTATATATAATTAAAAATAAAATACAATTATATGTTCTTTCCCCTCTTATATAATCTCTATGTATATACAGGAAAAGTAATAAGAAAAATAATTGAGAGAATAATTGCCACGTTGTTCTTTTTATAAAAAATGAAATTTAAGGAAACGAAAAGAAATTTTGGCTATGAATAAAAAATAACATAAAAATAGTATATAAAATATAATTATATGCGGTTATATATAGAATATTGTATAAATTGATTGCAATTATACTTCTTGTAAAAAACAATGCAAAAGTTATTTTTCTAATAATTTTTTACTATAAAAAATATAAGTTAAAGAAAACGCGTACAAACATCTCTTGCGTATTGTATATATTTGTGCATTTTGTGCATGAAGCCATTTTTATCGACAACTTATTTTTACTTCTTCGCGATCGGCAAAATTGCAAATGTAAATGCTTGTAATGTCGAGACAACTCGTAGTCCCGCTAACTTTCCAATATTTAGCGTTTTCCTTCAACTTTTGATCTTTGATCTTATGTAAATCAACCACCCGTACGGGCGAGCTGCGCTGCAGGCAAGAGGGTTGCGAAGCAACCTCTCTCAGACCCGCGATCGAACATGGCGCCAGCCGCCTTCTCTCTGCGCCGATATCACAGAGACATATTAAAGCGTACTCAACAGATTGGTACTGATTAAGCGGACGTCGTACCCATTGCTTTAGCTTACACGATCGTGCAGCTATATTAAACGTCCCATCATAATTGCATGTAATTGCGTACCTAGGCTTTGCGGTAATGACAACTATGGAGACCAGCCACCGCCGTGATATAATTCGTGCGATACAAGTTGTTTCAAAAGTTGGATACATCGCAAGTACGACGACTTGATGCGAGTTTAATGTTTTATCGTAATTACTACAGTGGGGGACAACAATGCACATGGTGTGTGTGTGTCCCTTTCTCTTGGTTCACACGCTTGATTTATCCACCCCCTCCCCCCATTTTCGGTCCTACGCAACAGAATTTTCGAATATCTTCAAAATCGTATTAAAGTTGTGTTAATACAAATACATTGGTAAATAGAGACATGCCTTTTTCAGGCTGAATCTCTGTAGCTTGATAAGTTTTACGTTCATTTACATACATTCATTTCTTGCCACTAGCAAAGTGGACGTCGAATTATTTGTTGCTTGTAAAATGTGGTCTTGTTGGAAAAGAAATATATTAATACGTTACATTACATGTTTCTAATCCAACATTTGCTCGAAAAGGTTCGTTTCCATTGAATTACGCACGATTCACACCAATACGTATTTCATTAACATCAATTTTTCCTCAAGTCCACCGAAATAAGTCGTTTATAAATAATACACACTTCGGAAATTAATTAGAATCGAAAATCTTTCTACGGAAATATCGTTACCACGATATTCAGTTACAAACGATTAAATATATGTTCGTATTGAATAAAATTGATGCACTCAAGGCCGTAATTACGCATACACGTTTGCGCATATTATTACATTCACTCTATTAATTTTCATAGATTAACCGATATCGATTCTAATCGCACGGCTGATCTTGTTTTTCAGCTTATTACGTAAATAACGGTACGTAACAATTGTTATTTTAAATTAAAATGAGATTTGCATTCTTAATTTATGCACTAATGTATCTTAATTACTTCCTTGTAAAAAAAGTTTCGAACAGAAACCTGATTTCACTTCCGGGTACAATTCCACGTGTGACACATAAAATATGCAACGGAGGGATTCGTAGATAAAGATAAACGGGTGCGTCGTGTTTCTCCGCAGTTTCTTTTTTTCAATTCGATCAACACAAAATTTATTTTTGAAGTTTAAATGAAAGACTTCATTGTTATTAATCGCCGGTGATTGCTAAACTGTCAAAGTTGCTAAAAGGTAATGAAATACCTCAACATACGGTTCTTTAAAATAGAAGTGACTATTCTATTTTTCAATAGCACCGAAATCTAAGTTACTGATCTGTTTCATACGCTATTCCACAATTTTCAAAGTTTCGAGTCTTGAATCTGGAGATCTTTGTGTCGACGAGTTAACTTCCAGAATCGTTCTTGGAAATTAAAATCTTTCTATTCTAAAATTCATAAATCTTTCGCCATTTGATCACTTGAACAATTAATGTTTCGATTCTGTATGTTGAATCCTAAAAATTTTACGCCATAATGTTTCACATTTTGTGAAATTACGAACATCAAAGTGGCCAAATGGCCGCAAGTTCGAATTACTACACTCGGGTTGTTATGTGCGCGCCCGTTCACTTCAATTCACGGAAATTTTGCGTGTGCATTTGCGCGCGTGTGCGCGCATACACGATAGATGAGTTCTGCGTAAATCCGGCATACACGGTGTAACTAAAGTACCGAAAGAGAAAAAAAAAGGCAAAATTATATGTTTGCCACGAATGTGTACAAGTATGGTACTTTGTTTGTTTTCCTCCACTCGACTCAACGTTGAAAAAAAAACCTCGATTAAAAGGCGTCTACCTTTTTGCGCATATCTTTCAAGCAAGAAAATGTAATCAATTTCACGTTTTTTGTTGCCACTGATGATATATCATTTATTAACACTCCATTATCGATACGTTTGCGTCGAATATTAATGGCTCACTTAGAATCTACCTCTTTAATCTATTCTATGTATGCAAACGCATATTACATAATAGGAACGAAACTATTAAGAATGTAAAAATGTGACTTGCAGCGGGCGTTTTTTTCTTATCTGACCGTGGTAGCGAGTGGCTGTCGACGTATCGCCGTCAGCAGACAAAAACTGACTAATTAACCGCACTAATGTGTCATGTTCGCGATCGGAAAAGCAATTGTCCAAGGTAAATGCATCGATTTACCCGCAACTAATTCTCTCCTTGAACAAGGAAAAATTCGTTACGGACAAGTCGATTTTCTCGAGTCGATTATGCGAGTACGTGCGAGCTTCATGACGAATTGAAGGCAACTTTTTTTTATTTCGCCGATACACACCTTTCAAACACTTTTCTTGGGCACTGGAATATCTGCTCCCTACAATTCGATCGGTGGATCATCACCGATAACGGTGAACATTCGCTGATTCGCAGTTATAATGCACCGATTGACTTTTAGAGAGTACTTCGTCGCAGCTTTGGAGATTTCTAGCATCGATCGCGACGGAATAAAGTACGCGACTCATATAATTTTCAACAATTCCGTACCCGCGGTCTTTTTCATTTCACAACAACGAGGCAACGATTTCACGTTTTCTTCGCTTACGTTGACGTTCTATCACTCGTTCACGGAACCCCGAAGCGGCTCACAACTTTTTCCCGAGCACCACGTATATTCGCAAATGCGTTTCGCATACGCGTATGTATTCCGATGCATGATTTGTAATACCCCTGAAGCCTATGTTACGCATTTAGCTTAAATCCGCTACTATTTGAGCTTGCCGGTAGTTTAGCAGGTAACCGCATCGTTTTGTACCAGTTTCAGAGCGAAATTACATCGAATTATAGTGAGCGCGCGAGCGCGCCTGGAATACTTCGTTCATTCGATTTGCGCCATATTTGTGAGAAGTAGAATTAACTCAACTAATTTCGCAATATTGGTAATCGTCAGTAGCCGGCGATAGCAAATACCGTTTGCACGCACATTTCAGACTCTTTTATATTTTATCTCGCAATTGCCGTTGACGGTGTACTTGAAACAATTTTTTTACTTTAAGTAAACTCAAAAAAGTAATTCAACTCTCTGGCTGATTTTAGAGGTCGATTTCGGTAAAACGTTTCAATTCACAAATTGCCTACAGAGACATTCACGACTAAATGTTACTAATGTTGAAAAGATACGTGTGCAAGATTTCCAATAAAGCTTTTAAAAATAAAATATCCCTTGCTATTTTTTTTATTATAAATACTTTTCTTAAGGCCTCTTGCATTTTAGATCTTTGATGTCGAAGACATTGGAAACTCCATGAAAAACAACTTAATGGGGCAATGCCGAGGATCTTATCTTCGCCAGTGAGCGGTTGAAATAAAAACGTAATGGGGGAAAAATTACTCGACGTAGCTGGCAATGCTTTATCAAAGGCATTGCACAACGTTCCGAAATTCAATGGGACTTACGTGTTTCGCGCATGCTTCGCATTTGTTTGCAGCACGTCGTTATTGGTCAGCTGTTTGGCAACCAGGACGCTGTCGTGGCCATTGAGGGTTTCCGGGAACGGCATCTTTCGGCAGCGAATGGATCGGGCGCACTTAAAGTCGAACAATAACGATTGATAAGAGCAACGAAACGATAGCCGGGCGCAACTAATCTCGATCGAACCGCGTATGTATCGTGCGCTCGCGACAAAGTGGCCGGCGTGACTTTCATGAGCCTATTTTATAGAGGATGTTGAAACGCGAGTTGGAAAAAAAACGTGAGCGCGAATGGGCCCGCCAATGGTCTTGGACACGCATAAGCGCGCCGGCCAATCGGCGAGCGCGTGGAATTACGGCACACGGGGTGCTTGCGCTGCACGGGGGCGCGGAGTGGGGGGAGGAGACGCACACGATGATAACCCGTTACAGAGCAAGTGGTCCAATTATTGTTATTTGTTTCGACAACGACGTTGACGTCGGCGAAGCGCGAAATCTAGCGCGACGCAACGTCGGAATAATATTTCAGTTGACGAACAAACTGATTAAGTTTATCTCGATGAGTATAGAGACGCGCGCTCGGGGCATTATTAAAAATATCGCGCGTCGGGAGAATGAAAATACATTTAAAGACAAGCAGAACGGGGATCTGTATTAAAATGCCCATCTATTTAAGCACATCGATCTGCCGCAGCTTTAGAATCCAAATATAATAGTGGGTGTCAGGCTTGATTGCGGATTCAAATTTATTTTCGGAATCTCCGACATTAAAGATGATGATTGATTCATGCTCCTTTCGACCGAATGAGAATACGGAATTAATAGCTGTGTTTTGATTCACAAGCAAATACAGAATTCGCGTGAATACTTTTTCATTTCAAATACACAATGTTCAATTAACTTCTAAACCGACATCATTTTCATCGTTTCGTTTCTTCGTTCGGTTTCTACACTGATAAAAAAATATTAATTAAAAAAAATTACTTTACTCAAGAAAATTATTTGTTAGGCGGCTCCTAATAGCTTATTAACTTAAATTTAAAAAATGACAAACAAATTAAAACATGCATTGCTTTAATTTAAGTATTTATGAAATATCAAAGAATAGATCGTTTTAAATTTAACAAATTTTATTTTAGTTCTGTAAAATGTTTACAAAGATGTAATTTTCACAGCGAAGAAAATTGGATTTCTTATTTAACAAAAACAATTATTTCATTTAATAAATAGTATTCTATATCTCATGCAATCTTTATTTGAATGTAGAAAATATAACGATTTATATTAATTTACTTAATACAATACACAGATTTACTTGAAATTTGATACTTTTCTTTAAAGAGAATGAATGTTTACTTCAGTATAAAAAAATAATTTTAAGTAAATCTATTTACTTAGTTAAAAAAATGTTTTTTGTCAGTGTGTCTCGCGACAGATTTTATGAAAATTCTTTGCCAAAGGTGACCCAAGACAGATGGAATAGAAAGTGTAAAACATGTCTCTCCCGTCTCGTGCTAATTTTCTTTCGATTGACTCTCGCCGGAGGATATCGAGCGTCAATAGGCGCGCACAAATAAAATACGTGACACACATGACGTATGTGACATTCTCATGAGATACTGTTAAATAGCGGCTGTGTTTTCGAATAAGGAACGTTGATACACGACGACGCATACGCGCGAGAATACATCTGTCTATTCATGTTAGATTAAATCAATGTAATTTCAATTCTACGCTGTCCAATATTATTAATTAGCACTCTATCGAGTTTCCATTTATTATATTTGAAGAAAAGATCCGGTGTTCTTTTCTCCACAGCGCTGCAAACTCACTGCGAGCAGTCCCAAATGTTTTCAATTAAAATTTTCCCGAATTTTTCGACAGAACAGTTTTGAGATTTTTTTCGTTGGATATTAATTATTAACAAAATGTACTAACCAATTAAAAAATCATTGAAAATTGTTGAAATGTCGGCACGATGTTTCTTATTTAATTGAATTTTTGAAATTGTTTTCCAAACAAATCGCTACTGCCCTTAGCGTAATCGATATTGAAAAGCCGTCTCACTCGACCGAAGGTACCAAAATGAATAATTTCCATTATTACATTGTTATTATTCAGATCCTAGAATCGTCTCTCTGGATAAGTCGGTCCTGATGAGGTGAGAACGAAAACTCAGCATATAATTGGAGCATAAAATCGAACATTAAGTACAGCTGTATCACACAGATAAGATAAGAAATCTCATGACGAAGTAAGTGTAAAATTAGGATAATATCCACAATAATATCTCTTACGTCATTCTTTCTCGGATTATTTTAAATGCCAGATGTATACACATACACTGCATTTTGTATAATATATTGTAGATAATATATTGTAGATAAATTAAACCATAAATATAAGAGAAAGAGAGAGAAAGAAAGACAGTTATTTCAAATTTAATCGAGACTCCAAAGATAGTATTAATCAACAAGTAAAAATTGAAAATGCACTTGAAAAATTACAGATAATTATTTTTATTTTTGGTCCTCTTCGAGTGACTCTTACTCATTAAGAAGGTGGTTTTTTCCAATATTAATTGATAAGATATTAAGTATAAAAAGTTAAACCATTATATGATAAATGATGATGATTTAGAAAGTTATTTAAGAGAAGAAATTAAATGCTGTTACAGTATCTAAGATCCATTGAAGAAGGAGACGCAGAAAAGATGTATTTCAAGTTTGTTTAAAAACTGTTGCAGCAAGAAATTGTTTCTGAACGTACTACGTATTAAGATATCATCTAAAATTATCGAAACCCTAGTAACAATAATATTCAAATAATGTATATTTCTACAGGATATACTAAAGGACGCTCTAATATATTGTACACTGAAAAAAATTTCTGGTTGAATATGGACGAATCAGATAATTCCTTTAGAATTTACCAGAATTCCTGTAATCCTACAGAAATTCTGGTAAATCCTAAAGGGATTCTGGTAAATCCTAAAGGGATTCTGGTAAATCTTAAAGGAATTATCTGATTCGTCCATATTCAACCAGAAATTTTTTTCAGTGTAGGCATCCCTTTAATATCTTATACTTTGCGACACAAATATTTTCAAAATCTACTAGTTGATAGAGGACGCATTTTCGTTCTCGAGGTGCATTAAAAAGATATTCTAATTCTCTTTGAAAATAAAAATAAAATTATATACAAACAAAAGCTAACGGTCCCGCTCTGCATGCATATTTACACTCAACAGTCATTCGAGAGAGTTACATACGTGTTTCCAACTTCTATCTCTTCATTCCTAAAAATAATAATCTATAATAGTCTAATCTGTAATATGATATTACGATGCCCCACATATTTAATATAAAATTGTACTTTTTAATTTTATTAATAAATCCACTTTATAAAACAGAAACAAAAAGTCAATAAAACACGTTCAGACAAAGTACGATCTGAAATTCAGATTTGAAGCAAAGATTTGATAACAAATTATATTTCTGATATCGTTAACGAGTTTATCTTATAATTACTTCTTACAAAAAAATGTAAAGTTTTACGAAAAATAATCTTTGGACAAAACGATAAAGTGTTAATCATCGATAAAAGATTTATAACAGTAGAATATAGAGTTATCTATAATAAATATCTTGAGTTATCGGGTGGGTCATTTTCTCTACATAACTTTCTTACATATCTGCTTGTTAAAGACTGCAGTATTTTCCGGTGAATTTAAATAATCCGAGTAGCAAATTCACAGTTTAAAATATCTAAATTTCAAGTCTATATTAAAGATATTTGTACAACTCAAATCTGACTTATTGTTAGTTAAATTAATAAAGTGTTAAATTGAGGTGGCTTTAATAAAAGAAAAAATTATTTATATTTGCAACTACTATTGCTTTTATCAAAATTTTCTATCACATCTAAGCTGTTTAAGAGACTTACAAGACTTACAAAATTGTTTAAAAGAATCTTTAGAATAATGCGTAAAAATAAGGAAAATATATAAATGGGATTTGCGTTTCAAACAATTTGTTGCTCGAATAATGAAAATCAATCCTTATTTGGATTTCAGCTTCGGTTTCTTCAGTAAACTTAATCGAATCATGTTGAGTTATTGTTGCATTGTAGAATGTTTCATTGCTCGACATTTTATAAACGAATAAAATGACTTAAAACGTTCTTGAAAATAAGCTGTCTGATTAAACTTATCTGTTAACTTTATTAGAAGAAAACGCTTGAGCAAAGCACGTTTATTCAGCCGTTATCGTTAAATAGAGTCGCGTGCATACGTGCCAGCGTCCGCGTACTCACAGTGAAAGATCACTGAATGGCATTGATCCTTCTACTGTAAAATCCGCTACACTGCATCTCACTAAAAATTAATCGAGTCGAGTCGAATCAGATCAGCTGTGCATTTGGCGATTGCAAAGTCAATTAGCTTCAGTTTCAGCAGTGCCGTATTTACACGGTTGCGCTCCTAAATTTCTTACAGCTCGCGATAAGTTACTGGAGGTCAGCAGATAAGGCGGAACCCCAACGAATCTGCGTGGATCACTCGCACTCGGGTCGGGATTGATGGTCTTGCTTTCGTGTTTCGTAATGACGTCTGTATTGCGTTTATCCGCTGACAGCGACAATAATCAATCTGAATTGACTTTTTAATTCTAAAACGACAAGTTTTGAAAACTTATAATACCGCGTACTTCTCTAAGTAGCCAATAATGTTATGCAGCGTGCGTAGTATTCGGCAGGCTCGAGGAATATTCTAGCCGATTATTATCAATATGTAGTAGTTACTGAATAATGTGCATGCAATCGTGCAACATCAATCAGTTATTGACCCTTAAACTACAATTGGTTGGTAGGCCAAGTCGATGAGTTATCGGTTGATTAAATAAAGACTGTCAAATGCACCGGATGTTTCGTAAGTGGAATTTTCTAGCAATACATTGGTCTAGCAACATATCGCTTATCGGAGATTTCGATTTGTTTTTGGCCGACTTCTGGTAACTATCACAGGACAAACAGATTCGTGTGTCTCTAAACGTTTCTCCGTGTGAGTACGCACGTTTAGTTTTGCAAAAGAGAAAAAAAATTCGAAAACTTATCACTCTCACTCTTTTAGATTTGATTAAATAAAGCATTCGACTAATACGCAATACGAGATTAAACAACGACAACAAAACAACAGTACCGCACGTTCGTGGCGCGAACAATATACGTGAAATGATATTAACTGTAGGAGTTAACTTAACACAACTTGCTGAACTGAATAAAGATGACGTTAACTTAGCACAGGAGCACTATTTAAACGTGCTGCACATTATGCAACAAGTAGGAACATTCGCGGCAGCCTATTTACCCTCGGGCTAACCAGATGCAGATAACATAGCAGCCAGACATTAGATATATATCTAATTGTCTCGTGTGACTAACTTTTCCACTTTTCATATTATTCCACGCGCGTGTTATCGTTGAAATGCCCCTAACAGTTTAATTCGTTCAAGCAACCTAATCCTAAGACACTAAGGAATTGCTTTTAGCCTTTTTATCTCACGATTGGTTTTTTATACAAAACACATTTGCGCAATTACAAATAAACGCTATTTTACAATTGCAAAACGGCTGTATTTTTCCGCTTTACTATGTGAACATCCCTTTTCTATACTCGATAAACATTTTTTTCGTATAAGAATGCATACACAAACATGTGCAATATAAAATATGTCTATACATATACAGGGTGTCCTGAAATTCGCGAATCAAAATACTATAGCAAAAATGTCGTCGAAAAAAATTAATTAAAAAGTTATTTGCCATTTTTCGTTCCGAGCAGTAGTTTTTTTTTAGTTTCCGTTCAACCGTAATGTATGATTGGCCTGTTTTGAACCTTTTTATCTAAAAAACTACTGCTCGGAACGAAAAATGGCAAATAACTTTTTAATTTATTTTTTCGACGACATTCTTGTTATGGTATTTTGATTCGCGAATTTCAGGACACCCTGTATATTCGGTTTCCCTTACGTTAAGTCTATTTGTATGTACAGAGAAAAATAAGGAGAAGAACAATTAAAAAATTACTAAAAGAATTATTTTTACCTTGTAGTTTTTTTTAATAAAAAGTTAAAAGGAAATGAGAAAAAGTTGCCCATTATACGTAAATGTAATAATTTTACACAAAATATGTTTACGTCGCCTATGCACGAGAAAAGTGACACAGATAAAAAGTAGCAATTTTACAGGAGGTCGATTTTGAAACTTTTAATTTGCCCAGATGCATATTAACGATTTTGTGCATCTAAATAATAAATGCTGAAATTGTAATTCTTTATAAATCATGAGCATTGATAATTTGTGCTTCACCATTTCGCCCGACAAGTGAAATTCACTCATTTCTAATCCCCGCCCCCATATATGCTCTCTGATAGCATTTTTATGATTACACTATGACGCATACGCTATGATACAAGTACATACGTTTTCAAGTTGATATACTGCAAAAACCCATACTTCTGACTTAAATTGTATTTTTCTTGAGCTAAGATATTGCACATGTAGAATATAATATACAATAATCAAATCACAATTTTATTTCTCTTAGAAACAACAAAAGTTATTTTTCTACTTCTCCATTTTTCTTCCCATTATTTATAATCGAAGATTATGTAAGACTGGAGAAAAAAAACATATTACATTTAAACATATTTTATATGTATATATAATTGTTATGTTATATACAGAGGAAAGTCCTTTATTATGATATTCTCATATGAGATAGCAGGTTTTCAACACCCAAATTCAATCACAAATCTTTTTTTGCAACGATTACATAATAAAACACTGAACTTTCCACTAAACAGATTTCGCTCCAAGGGCAGTAAATTCCTAATGGAATCAACTGATGATGCCTATTAATTTAACAGAACCCCCGCTACCCCATATTAGGATCCTATCTCATAATAGGGGACTTTCTCTAATTATATTTTTATACACTTTTTATGTAAAAAATTTTTACCGGATGTAACACTTCAAAAGTTAATACTGATCTCCTAAAGTTGTGATATCTTTAAATAAAAGTAATTTCACGTATTTTATTATCTTACAACGTGTGATAACACCTGTAATGTTGACTTAATCAACAGATCGAATGCAATATATCTCAGCTTGGATAATTATATAATTTGATTATCGAGTTACGGGAAATATTATTAAGTGCAATGATATGAAAATGTGAGTTGACATTTAAAAATAATCTCGATGATAGATATCAGGTACGCGCGATTATGAAAGGACTTATTTAGCTTGTAACACAAGTGCGCTCGAATCTGAATGAATGCAAACATTGTGCACTTTTTATTTACGTTAAAAATAAAATTATTCTGCTTAAACATTTCACTTATCGCACGAATCACTTATTAAAAGTAAAATTGGATTTAATTGCACGAGAAGTCTTTTGCATCTCCTCAGCACAATGAGTACAGAAAGAATTTCATTTTTTTTAGTGTAAAAAAGAAAGCTACAGAAAATACATGAAACGCATCTATAGTAATAAAATTTTCTACCATATACATAAATCAACTATAATCTCAATTTAACTTGTCTTTACCCAATTCTAAAAATTAGTGAACGATAAAACAAGATTAAACCGAAAGTAAATAATATGCATTGATAGAAATGGGCATAAGACACACTGGTTTCTTACAAACGTATATGAAAGAGCTCGATGTTTCTCGAATGTCGCTAGGAAACCAATTCGCAGTAATATGTTTATTTAGGTCACGATTGCACAGGAAAAGTATAGTAAAGATAGATAAATGATGATCGTGCATTTTCTGTATTTAGCTTAACAAAGATTTAAAAGTTATTAATACAATGCCCTTATAGTTAACTCCGACAAATTAAAATCACTTATCTTTCAATTAACTATCAATTACAAATTTTCCATGGGAAATTTCTGTTTATCGTAAGCCATGAAATAGGACAAATTTTTGTTGTTATCAAGTGAGCTAGTGAGCTCACGAATATTCAATGGATAAAATCAAAATTACAAATAGTATCACCTGTCGATATAAATATACCAGTTTCTGATATTAATTTACCAACTATTGATATTTCATAAATTTCATAATGTACGCGTAATATTTCATAATTTTTAACGATATATTTAAATATTCCTCTTATTTCACAATATTATTATACATTAAATTTTACATCTAAGAATTATAATTCAATCTGTACAAATTTTTAAAACTAGCAAAGTTTTGTCCTAAGTTTAAAAAATTGTACATTTTCATGAAGTACTACTTGTAATAATTCCTTGGCTTGAGAACATTGTAATTTGTTATATTAATCCGTAGATATTTTAACCAAAACTTTATGTTTCAACGAAGATATAAAAATTTCTACAAATTTCTATGTGAAGTCAATTTTTTGTAGTTATTGATAGAAATTTTTTCCGATAGGGATTGCTGCAACGCTGCTCCAATCTTGCAGCAACGGTCAAATGTCCGCCCTCAGAAATATTACAATGTAATATTACAGCAACATAGTAATATAATATATATGTATAATATATGCAATAATACGTTGTGTATATTCATATTAATGTATAAAGAAAAAAATTTTGAACAAATTGCGGACTTTAAAAAGATCGTACCTAGGAGCTAACACTATTTTCGTGGCATGTTTGAAGAACTGTAATATATACATACATATATTGTGTAGTAGAGAAAAAGACATTTGGTGCTGTACATAAGACATGTCTTTAACAATTTTTATTTCTTGTGTTTGTAGTCGACTAGTGATATTACGATAAAAATCAGAAAGAAATCTATTTACGTTCACAAGGCTATCCTGAAGATTCGTTCTTTATATTTCAGAGCAATGTTCCAGCCTAACATGCGCGAAAGTCATAAGAGGTATGTTTCTGCGAAGAATTATGTGTATCTGTCTAAAAATTTTTCATATCTGATTCGTTTATGTTTCAACGTATTTTTCTTGACAGAATCATACGTTATTCTAAGTATTCGTATGGCGTATATAAAGCATTTTTAAGATATTTCTATATTGGCAAGATCACGCTGTCATGTACATCTACGAGGGAGACCTTATACCCCTTATACCGAATCTCGAGCGATCACAAGATTTCATCCGCAACATGAAAAAAATCGCGCGATCTTAAGAGATCTTATAATCTAAATAGATTTTTTTAATTGTAATTGGGGCTATAAACACGTGAGGAAACGTAAGCACCATTGCGACTCAAAATTAGACAAAAAATACCGCGAAATTAAAAATATTACTTTATACCCAGTCAGCAAAATGTCAGCAGATTAGCAGCAGGTTGGCCAAGAAAAAGATTTACAAGTGTAAAAACTATATTCGAATGTTTCGGTAAAATAGATGACTTTAGGATCCTCTTCCCGATTCGAGGCAGTCTTTCCTTCATAGTCAGATCTTGTATTTAAGATCGTCTTAGATCATCTTTAGATCATCTTTAGATCATCGTCTTAAGATCATCTGTAAACAATAAAATGTTCTGTACGGTTTGGAATTTGAATATAAGATCTGACTATGAAACACCGGCCACACATTTTCTAATTTCGCGCGCCTGTGCGTACCGCGCATGCTTGGTGAATCTGCGCCGAGTGTAGAGCGTAATGCCATCGGTAAGTCAGATTTCCTAACCCCACGGACCCCACCGCTGTTTTGTAGCGCGTTCCAACTTGTTTCCTATCCGATCGTGACAATTTTAACATTCACGCTCGCGTTTGATGCACCAAAATACGCAGCATTGTGAAGTTATAACGCAAAAACGGAGACAGTGTCTCTCCTTTACTATCACCTTCTCGGATCGAAGCAAAGGACGCGCCTAATCCATTGCTTTGCGTCCGAGGTCTGAGTTCCGAGAACATGTCAACATTGGAGGATAAGATTTTGGGGGAGAAATTGCACTACTACTGCAGCAGCAGTTCCAGCGAGGACGAAGGAAATGATTCTGCTGATTCTGACAAAGAATGCGACGACGTGAAATATACTGACGACGCCTCGCAGTATTCCGTGCCTTCGTACTCAGAATGGGTTGGGACTTCCAGCAACACAGGACCTAAAGGTGTCATAAAGGTATAATAATTATACATCTGTACCTTGTGTTTATTATGTCACGATCTAGAGACCAAATTGAGCACACGCATACGCACGTCTATATGTATACTAAGAGAAAAGTTTCCTATTATGAGATAGACGCCCAATATGACAGCAGAGTTTCTGCTGAATTAATAGGACTCGTCTGTTGGTTCCACCATGAATTGACTGTCCTGGGAGTGAAATCTGTTTAGTGGAGAGACGATTGTTAAATCGTGCAATCGTTGCGAAAAGATTTGCGATTGAATGTTGCCGTTGAAAACCTATTTCACAAACTTCGAGGGCTTTCCTCCAAGTTTTATCAAATGTTGCACAAATAAGTTGACATTAATTGAAATCAAATTACTCTTGGCAGGATTGGCAACGATACAAGCAGCTAGAAGCGGAAAAGCGAGAGTCGCAAGAGAAGGAAAGGCTGAAGTTGATCAAGAAGCTCAGTTTGACGTGCCGCAGTGCTTTGGACGAGGAGAAGGAGAAGGAGACAGATCCGGAGTTGGCAGACTTGTTAGCCGACGAATTCCTTCTCGAGTACCAGAGGCAGAGGATGAAAGAAATGCTCGCTGAAACAAAGAAGCTTTATTTTGGGAAAGTTGTCGATTTGGAGAACACAGATCAGTTTCTGCAAGCCGTTGACGGGGAAGACAAGTCGGTGATTGTCGTCGTTCACATCTACGAGGACAACGTAGCCGGCTGTGAAGCTATGAACGGATGCCTGATTACTCTCGCGGAAGAATATCCTTCCGTAAAGTTTTGTAGAATTCTAGGTTTGTTCACTTCAAGATTGTACACAAAGAGCCTTCGAGAAATGACTTCTGTCTACTATCGACGTCACGCGAAGCAGAAGGAACTTAAATACTTTTAATTATATCTTATTTTCACACTGCAAGTAAACAATGAGATCTTGTATTTAATTAATCATTGAACAGAATCTCAGAGAAAGGTTTAATATTGTTTATGTAGCTCAAATATGTGGTAGCAGATGTTCTTTTCATGGCAGCATACTTCTTTATTATATTCTTTTCTTTTAGGCTCGATTGCGGGTCTCAGCAAACAATTTAAAAAGTATGGCGTACCGACATTGCTGGTGTACAAAAACGGACAAGTGATAGGAAACTTTGTCCACGTTACGGATCACCTAGGACTAGACTTTTACTCATCGGACGTGGAGGCGTTTCTCATCGAGCACGGGATTCTCGCTGACAAAAACTGCATACCGCTTATCGTTTTAAAGAATGAAAATGGAGCATCCGATAGCGAATAGAAAAGCATCATCATTCCTTTTAAGATATTCCATTAATATGCTCTTCATTAAATCGAAACCACTTATTAAACCTTCGCCATGAAATGCTTATCAAGAGATTATCGTGTAATTAATTTATGAAACAAATTTGAACAAATATCACTCTTTAAATCAGATATATGTATATACACGTACATGTATTTGTGTTATTTTCATTGTTATGATATATAAATCCTCCATTTATTTCGCAGAATTATTTCAACATGTCCAACATGTGTCTCTTCTTCTTTATCGCGTTGCAAAGCTGCGAGTAGATTAGCAACACCTGATCATACTCCGCGTTTTTCAGATTGTCGTACTGCTTCTTTAAATCTTCCTTCTGGCAGATCTCATCCGTGACTACTTTCAACTTCTCGTCGACTAACCGATTTAGCATCTTGAAAGCATCAACGGTGGTCGAGGTCTCTTTGAACATTCTGATTGTGCAAGAGAGCTTCGTTAACTTGGCCTGCAACTCGGCGACCTGCGCCTGCAGCAACAAGTGTCCCGTCCTTTCCAAGTACGCCTGGCTCACGTTCTCGTACTTCAGCTTATTCCACTTGTCCATCAGCCTTATGTATTTCAGCAAATCACTTTCGCACTGCCGACTCAAATCCTCGATCTTATTTCTCCATCGAACCGCCGGCACGTCGTGGTGTTCCAAAAATTTCTTGGGCATTTTACACTCGCTGTTCTTCGCGGCTTCCTTGGCATTTCCCCCTAAGGCTTCGTACCTTACAACACGCAGGCATCGATAAATAACTAAATTAATGTAAATTACATTGATACAGTCTGTTTTTTTTCCACACGATGAGATACTCACTTTAACACCGTATCGTGCAACATTTCTCGCAGCATTGTCTCGACGCAACATTTCACCTCTAGTTTCTCATCGGGATTCAAGTCGGCGGACGGTAGATCCATAATTCCTAGGAGCACCAGTTTATTTTGCATGTGCTTCGTCGTCGAAGAAAGATGCATGTACTTATCCAGCTCGTGAATTAGAAGCAAGTTTTGCAATTTACTCGCCGTGCTCTTGGACAAGATGTTTCCCTTGTTCAACGATACCTTCTTCGTACACTGATAGACAATATTGATTTTAACGTGTTCACTTATGTTCTCCTCGCACAATACCAAGGAGTTTAGCGCTTTCTCGATCGCGCCTGTTTCCCGAGCGATCGCAACCCTATCGTGGTTTCTTACAGCGCTGGAATAACTGTCTAACAAGCTTTGCGACGACTCCATTACGCTAAATAGTCTGCCACTGAATTGGGAGATCGTCGAGATACCGGAAATATCTAATAGGAAACGAAAACACGATAATACAAATATACTGTACAGTCGGAGCTTTGTGCATCCTCACGTGAATGCATAAGACTTGAAACAGACATAGTTTATTAACTAGATATTTTCTTCAATCATGCATGTTTCGACGCAACTGTTTAGAAGCAAAACTATATCACTTACCCGATATTTGATGCAAATCGCTAAAACAACTCATACTTGTTGCTATTGATGAACTTAACCCTGTAACAGGAACGGATACGATCGTTGACAACAATTAATCCTCTTTATTATAGACATCCGTTGCCTTGAAGAGAGTAATATTTTTATGTCTTACTAATCGGCACAATGCAATCTGTGTAATAACCTTTTTCTTACTTATGGCACTTCTTTTTAAGAACAATACGGTCAGGAACACATTCAAATGAAAGGAAATACAGAATGGACTTGGGAGAACGAAAACCGGTTGCGGCAAGCAAGTTCCTCCCTTCCCGGCCGGTCTCAACGCTCCAAGGCTGAGGTTAAGCTGCAAACACTTGGAAGCATTTCTCCTTTCTTCCTATCTTTACCGAAAGAAAATAGAAGACTGATACTTCGTAACATTTACTCGAGCGACTTTTCCAGACTCCCTGTGTAGCAACAGTCTGCGTATTCAAAATTCAAAACAAACATGTCAGCTGATCCATAGACTATTGGTCAGCTGCTCAGGCAGAAGTGCAAACCACTGTGAAATAAGGGCCACCAGTCACGGCGTAGACAGAGAAACGTAGGCGGGAACATGGCGGGAACGATTCTCGAAATCATTCGAAGAAGAAACGTATACGTAATATTCTGCTCTGACAGAAAAGTTGAAAGTCGATTGGTTAAAGCCATGCGAATAGCCAATCAGCTTGCAACTTTTCTGTAAGAGCAGAATTTTCGCATAACGTTTCTCCTTCGAATAAATTCAAGAATCGAGCCCCTGGACCTAAAATAAATGGACTGTGCACTTATCAATGGCCGCCTTTCAGGAGAAAAAGTTAATATTGAATAATATAAAGCCCTTGCTTGCAATCTAATAAATTACTATCATCGCACCACTTGGCACTCAGGATTTCTAGTACTTTACTAAATCGCAAGCAAACCAGCAGGAAAAATAGTCTGCGTCGTCTGCAGCGAACTTAAGATATAAGAAATGAAATTTCTACCGGTTCAGGTCAAATAATATTAGTTTGTAATTTATCATTGGCGAAAAACACATCAGTCGTGTGTTAGAGACAAAACCATACGTGTACAATTTTTTGAGTTTATATTTAAAAGAAGGACTTTTTCAGTATTCTATATAATTGTGTTAATAAATATCTATTTAAAAAATATAAAATATAAAGTAAAACTACAATAATTTTGATTTTACATAATTATTCTATAATAATCATATACGTATTTGTATTTTTACAGTACAACATATATAGTGAACGATGTACAACTCTGCTGTCGCGAATCGTATCAGTGAGTGATAAATTACTTTTTATTTTAAATTGACGTTGCGCATACAATTACTTCTTTGCATGTATAAAAATTCTTAATAATATACAATGCCCAATCACAAACTGCGCGCGCGAAGCGCGCGTTTTGTCATTTCTATAGTAATTGCTAAAAAATGCATTGTAATTTTCTTTAGTGAAGGATAGCGGGCTTACGGATGAAATTCCGGGGAATCGAGTAAATATCCATTGTGTAATCCACGTACCTCTTCGCGGAACGGCACGGTCTTAATAACACGTAACATTATGCAATTACTCCGTAAGCAATTTAAATAAAAAATTATTCAGTATTCCACATCTTTAGACGTGGACGTTGCGTCAGAATTTAGGTAGGCCAAACAGGTGTGTTTGTAGCTTCACCATTTTGCGCCACGCGAGAGGAATGTTTGGAAAATTCAAATAGAAGCATCTATTTTAATTTGTATAAATATATAATATTTAAATTAGAATTCATACATCAAACCACGAGCAAAATTCTGTACATTTATGTAATTATTGTATTTCTTATTACTTTTTCAGCCTAGTAGAGTTGGGCTGAACAGGACCAGACGAACCATTTCCTTATTGCTATATCATTTTAGTCGGGGTTTGATAAAGGGCCTTTTCAGGAAACTCCGATTTCGCCGGGGCCTCTGTTCATCTTCAGAGATGAGACACGAATAAGTTCACGTTGACTTTTTAACAAATAAATTTATTAATAAATACAACGAAGGCCGCGCAAGAGAGAGAGAGAGTAGTCCGAGGCATGGGTTCCTCAGATCGTCCGAGCAAAAACGCGAGGAAGATTCTCCCTCTGCTAGTCCAGCGTGTCCTTCCCGGTCCTCGGCAGCAGAAACGAGAAGAAGCCGCAGGCTGAAAATCGATCGAATTACGTCGTATCCGAATGTGTTAAGTTACATTTATTTTCAAAAAGATTTGCGATAAGCAGACATTAATGTCGCTCAGACGCTCAGTATTCGTATTTGTGAAAACAAAATTCAATTGTTCTTTATATAATAATTTTTTTACAAAATTCAATTTTTATAGAACAAAGAAGAGACCGCGCTTTTCTCTGCGCGCAGATCCGAGGGGGAATTTAAACGTTCGGGTACTAATCTCGGAAAATTAAACTTTACCGAGAAGATCTTCTTACCGAAGAGAAACGCGGCGAACAATATGATGGGGACCACGCAGGCTAGATCGATCAGATAACCGAACACCAGGTTGCCGATCAGGGCGCCCAGCCGGCCCATCGTAAGTGACAGAGCCGCGGCCATCACTCTGTAACGTGGTACCAGATTGATAAATCCCAAATCGGGTAAGCTGCATGAAGGGGTTTGAGCCACAACTCGCTCACCTGAGATTCGTCGGGAACATGTCGACGATGACGCAGTAGACTAGAGAGATCCCGAGGGACGTGAGGGCCTCGAACACGCACGAGAGCACCAGGTTCTGCATCGAATTCACCACGTAGTAGAAGCCCACCGTCACCGCGCCGGAGACCACCAGCGACACGACTGAAAACGCAACGTGGCGTAAAATATCAAAATCCCAAAATGTTTTAATGTAAGCGAACGTACAGGGATCTAATTGGACCCCAATTATTAGAGTCTAATCTTGTTATGTGAATCGGAGTCCCAGTAGTGTATTTTATACAGCTGCCCTTTCTCCTGTCATCCCTTAAAGAGGTCAAATTGTTATATCACGTCACTCACTCAGGAAGAACTTTGCGCCCAGTTTGTGCACGAAAAGGGGTAGGATGATCGAGCCGGGGATGCACGCGAGGCCAATGTACACGGTGTGCAGGTAAACGGACGGCGCGATTATCGTGTCGCATCCATAAGGGTCATAGAAGGTTGTATTGTCCGGCAGGGCGGACACTATGCACACCGATGTGGTCTCGCCGGGATACGCGTGCTCGAACTGCTCGAATCTGTCGAATACGGGGTAAACGGGGATTAAATTAGCACTGAGATATCGCAAATCGCATAAGTGAAACAGAGTTGGGCCAGGGACAAGTGAGAAAACAGTCGGCGAGAGTTTGATAAAATCATCGGCAGAAAGAAGTAAGGTAAGAAAAAGATAATAGAATAGAGAGACTTGTTTTACCGGGCCGAAGTGCCCTTTTAAACTTAATTTACGCTTGCAATTGTAAATTCTCTCGTTGTCACGATTTTATTCAGTAATTATATTCAAAGAGCTTCGTTTGACTTCCAGAAGAACTGGTGCGACGCGCGCGTTGATTAACGAGATTTACCTAGTGAACAATTCCGGGAACCAGACCATCAGGGTGTAGTAGCTGCTGGTGAGGCCGAATTGAATAGCGCAGGCGAGCGCGGTGTTGCGCAAATGGGGCGGCTTGCAGAGCGCGCTCGTCAGATCACGTATTTCCGCGAACAGGACCTTCAGATCCTTTCGCTTGTGCAGCTTCAGCGACCTGGTGCTTTTGTCCTGGTGCTTCACCTTCTCTTGTAAGCACTTCACCTGGAAAGTAGAAGAGAAGGCGGAATGAAATATGTTTCTCGCGGTAAATTTTCTACAGATTATTTCTAAATGACGATTCTTAATTAGCATCATTATTAATAACGAATTCACTTATTACAGAATAAAATACGATTTATGTTAGAACTTGGTTTCTTCGAGGACGCTGAGGGTGTTCTTCAAATACCGAATGACGAATTAAAAATCGCCTTTTCAACGCGATTCGAAATATTAAATATTTTGGAGTCACGTATATTTTATTTCGCCATTAACGTTCATTAGATATTTAATATTGTTACCAACCTCTATTGCTTATAAAATAGTCCACATGAGAAGTACGTTTATTTTTATTTTATTTAAATCGCGGGAAAACATATACGCGAATCCTTGCTTTCCATCGCTTCTCGATCAGAAACGTGAAAGTAATGTTACCGGATAGGTTTCCGGATCAGCGCCGGTGTTTTTCGAGTAAATCCACTTGAACACCTCGAGGGCAGCATCGGTCTCGCCGCACTCCAGCAGAAACTTCGGGCTCTCGGGAAAAGCAAATAGCCACAGGCCGAGCATGATTGATGGCAGAGCGCAGAGCGCGACGAAGAGATTCCAGGATTTGAAGTAGAACGTCTCGCTCACGATAGTGAAGTCCATGGGGATGATCAGCCAGGCAATCACTAGAAATGACGATTGGATGTCGAATTCTTGGAGTCTTGCCTTTCAAAGGTAGACTGCAGGAGACGGAAATTACTTACGCGGCAAGACTATCACGCCTACCGTCCAGAACATCTCCATCCAGCAGAGTATGCGTTCGCGGTATTTTGTGGGTTGAAATTCGCCGAGATACGGAAAGCAGATGCCCATGGCGCCGGTTACGCTGCGCAACAATCGAAACTTTGTTAATTTATTATTAAAATTCAGATTATGTTATATTATGTGCACATAATTACTTTATATTTTGCATTATTTTACACGTGCACGGTTATAATTTTAATGGTTGATTCTCCATTTGTCATTTTGACAGATTTTTCAATAAGAAGTTAATTTAGCGAAAATGAGCGTTTTCGTAAGCATTTTAAGTTATTGCGTCGAATTACAAGCATTTACAAAAGAGATTGAAGGGTTTATATTAAACATCTCAGAGGAAAAGAATTTATATCAAGTATTTTAAGAGTTTCATTTGAGCTTCGTCTCGACAGTATTCTAGTTAGAGATTAGTTTCTTCAAATTGCCAGTATAATAATAAAATTCCAAATTTCATTCGACCACAGCTGGCCACATTTGCTAATTAATCGGTTTCTAGTCATAGTATTCTAGTTACATTGAATATGTCTGATTAATCAAAAAGTTGCGCTATAAATGTTTAATCCTCGATATTCTCTCTAACGAAGAATTGACTTCGGTCTTATAGCAGCGGTCTATCCATCGTACTCACGCGAAGCCGTTGAGGAATCGAAAGGCCAGGAACACCCAGAAGTACTGGACGAACGAAGACATGATGCCCACGACGCCGTCCATCAGCAGCGTAGCTATCAATACGATTTTCCTCCCCTTCGTGTCAGCCAGGCATCCCCATATATACGATCCAATCAACATACCTACACAAGGAGAATTTTCTCTTGAAAGTTATCCGGAAATTTTACCGTACATTTTACTAGCTATCATGCTTCATATACTAATAAAATGTATGGTAAAGTTTAAGAAAACTCTCATAAAGTTGTTCAAAATGCCACGTTGTTCCACGATTACACGATTCTCAGGGTAAATTTTCAGATAAGATACTCGCCGTGCACCAAAGCAACTCCCATCAATTTCAACAATTTTCTTTCTTATATAAAACTGGCATCAAGAAACGAGAGACGAGGAAGACACCGACCTAGCATTGGGGAGGCGGTCAGCCAACCCTTCGCGGTGGAATCCATCTCCAGGTCGCATTGTGCCGCCGGAAGTACGAACGAGAGTATTGTCACGCCGATCGCCGTGTCCATATAAATCAGGCCGCAGATGGTCAGCAGCATATAATGGAACCTTCCAAAACCTAACGCACATTGGATTCAATGAGACTCGTGGATAATTGTAATTAACATGGAGAGTCATCTCATGAACGATCCCGCAAAGGTTCTGAATCTTTAAATTCTTTCTTCTTATATCCCGATGTCGCCTGTGAGAATCGTTGCGAGATTTTGTCTCAAATTGTGATAAAATTGCAGGACTAGGCCTTTGAAATTGGAAAGACGCTTGAGCTTTGAATTTGGATTGTCAGTTGATCAATTTTTTCATGGAATCCTTACCTGTTACGGTGATTGCATGCTCGAAGTCGGCACCTCCGTCTGCCAGGAAGTCGAGTCCTACAAGAAGAATTTAAAAAAACTGAACAACCTCTGAACTGGATCCTTCTACATTTTCGATCAAATACATCGGGGTAGAAATCATTCGAAAGTACGAATTGCGAGATGTAGAAATTTTCGTTGAAAAACCAAACAGAAATGTATACGCGTCACGGTCAAATATTATATCATGTAATGTTCGCGATATCGTATTGGTGACAATAATAATTATTCATATTAATAATCATGATCAAAATAGCCAAACGTCGATGTGGAACTCACCCATGGTCGCCGCTCAAATCGCTGGACGTTCTGCAGATGCTCGAGCGCAGGAAGTTGTTCGTGGACGTACCGTCGCAGTGCCGTCGCTTCCTGGTGCTGCTGCTGCAGCTGCCACGATGTTGTCCTTGAAGAGGGCGACGCCCCGCGTTCATTGGTGAACGGTGAACACCCAAGGTGGTATCCTGTCGACGTCGTTACCGTGAATTCCGCCCCTAATGTGGGCTATCACCCCTCCTGGGAAATCGCCCGTCGATCGGTGGACAACGGTATCAGCAGTCAGTATCTACGAGGCTTCTCTCTTCGCCGAGTTTCCGTCTCTGCGAAAAGAAAGGCAGACGGTCGGCGAGCGGCCGCTTGTTCGCGCGCTCGCGATCGGACGAATGATCATGGACCATGGATCGCGTCGCGCACCTTGACTTCCGGAGTAAGCCCGATTGTGATAAGATATCAGTCGCTACCGCGAGAAGAGGGGCTGAGGAGCCTTGGGAAGCCTTCGGCTTTTCCCAAAATGATAAAACCCGCGACGAAAGAAAGTGACAGATTTAAAGGAAGAGTGCCTTGTGACGATTTCAACGATCTAAAAAAAAGGACGAAAAGGATAAGCCGACTCGGATCAACTGCAAATGTGGTGAGGAACATTTGGCACAAATAGAACTCATTTGCATTAAGTACAATTGAATATAAATTTAACGTAAATTTACTACTTACTGACCCACACTTTTAAATACTGTGTTCAATTGTTATTTCTCAAGCTGAAGGTTCTGAATGAAGGGTCCAAGTTTTATATTTTCATGAATTTTTTTATCGCATAAGGTATTGCTTTTTAATTGTTACTATTGAAATGTATTTTACTCTTCTTATTAACGTTTTTTTCGCGATAATTTTTGGATGCATGCGTGACGAACGTGTACATCTAATGCAGAATGATTGCTATATTTATGAAGGTGAACTCGTAAACACGTAATTTACGATCCAAGCACGCGGAAGTTGACGAGCGCGTCGCTTGTTTAATCGTTATTATTTCGTCGTAATTTCAGGAGATAACGTCCCTTTGTGAAATTGTGTCACGCGCGCAATATTTTATTACGTCACTAATTTACTCGCGTTTCAGCCGTGATAAGAGATAAGAGATCTGCAGCATCAGACATTGCTACCTAAAGTCTGTCTGTCATATTAATTTATTATTGCACATGACTTATGAATAGATTGATAAATATATCAATCACGTTATTAAATCCGCGACGAATATTTTCAACGTTCGCCATGCTATAAATTATTTATTCATTTTTTAATCGCTTTGAATCGTTCTCGCTCGCCAGTTAGCGAGGCAATTTGTTTTTAACTGTAAATGCCGAAACCAATGCGGGATAAATTTTTTTAATTACTTTCTCGACTCGTCTGTCGACAACCACAAATCTATTCATTAGCCACACATTTGTTTAATTATCTTCTTTGATCTGTCTCGTGCGTCTGTTGACAATGTACATTCGTATAATGAATATCTATTATCTTCAGTATTTGAACAGAAGAAATTTTCAGATTCACGAGCGACGTGAGAGATTTCTTAAGACGATGATAAAACAATGTAGCTGATGTAGACAGTCGGATCTCTGTAAAAAATATGTGGATACGTCTGTCGACAATGTACAATCATTATATGAATTGTTGACAGACGTATCTATATGTTTTTTATAGAGATCTGTCTATGCATCAGCATTGTTTTATCGTCGCATTAAGAAATCTCCCTCGTCAATCTGAAAATTTCTGCTCAAATACTGAAGATAATAAATATTAGTGATACTCATCGAGATGCGTCATACAGTAAATCTGTGATGTCAAAGATATGTCATACCTCGTATTACGATATAAAGAAACCGTCATTACTACGAATACTAGGCGCGACAATACGAATGCTTAATTGATACATGGGATGACTCGAAATCTCACTCTAATTTTACGAAGTTTTCAATAAATCGATAATAAAAGATTGTTGCACGAAACTCACTTACATAGCACAGAAATTGTAATATTACATTTCCAATGTAATATTAATGAAATTGTAATATTACATTTCCAACGTAATATTACAATTTCATTAATATTACAATAAAATCAATCGGAAATATTACTGTAATATTACTGACATATCACGGTGGTATTAAAGTGTCCGCCCAGTGAAATATTACCGAGAGAAGCGTAGTAATATTACTGGCCCACAGGCTGTATAATCTCTCCAATAATTGTTTATTAGTGCGTTTTTGTAGTCATTCTCAAAGATGATTACTGTCGTATTACAAATTATCCTTATGATATTTTATTCATGCTTCAATGCGATATACATTGGAAAGTGCCAAATAGTAATGTGACATTAAATGGTGTCTTCATGGCATCTTAATGACGTAACAAAACGTAATATGGCGTAATTAAAAAGTCATTTGACGTCATCTTGCGCTACTTTGGATCTGATATATTGCAGCACTATTACTGTTATATTACTGTGTAATATTTCTATGTAATATATCAGTAATATTAATGTATCAGTAATATTCTGATGTATTATATAAATGTATTATATCAGTAATATTACTGTAATATTATATTACTGATATATTACGTAATATTATGTGCTATGTGGGTAAGCAATCTTATAAAATTGCAGGTGATTGTGATAAGACGTTCGCGTTTCTCGCGTTCATCAACGCAGTTTAAGAAGAATTATCGAGTCAAGCATTAGATCAACGCAGGAGAATTTCACCTTCAGATTTTATTTCGGCGAAGTTAGAATATCGCGAGACTGAAAGAATTCTGTTTACGTGAAGAAGAGCCTCGCGCTCGCGGCGGCAATTTCGCCGTAAATTTGTTTTCGATTTTACTCGACAAATATGACAGACCTTTTACATCAACTTGATACCTTAATCGTAACATATATCTCCGAGATATTCGGAGTATCACGTTTGAGGAACGTGACCCGCCTTACTCGTAAAAATGCCAGCGAGATGTTAAAAGGTAGCATGTGCAAAAGGCGTCACTTTCCCCCCATTTCTTACGTACTGTTTGTCTGTCGCGCTTCTCTCCTACCAAGCGAAGTCTCCGCGAACGACATTATCTGGCGATCGCTGATGGCTAAGAGAAAAATGACGAGCGAAATAGAGGCGATCTACTTGTGCCTATTTATCATCTATAATTAACTCCACGTTTTTTGGGGGGGAGGATTTTTCACGTGATAAGATAATAAAAAACGGCGATTCGTCACCGCAAGTACAAAATAATTGTGGGCCATTCCATGTTTTGGGAAGCGAAGGCGCCGGCGATCGCGTGATAAGTTCAACGTGCTATTTATATGAACGATAAACGCGTTCGACTGGCCAGGAAAAAAGTTTGTTCGTAAATAACCGCGTAATCAGATCGACGATCGCGAGAAGGTTTACGGATAGATTTCATCGAAATACAATTTCTATAATTGTATAGGATTAGTTATCTTCTTATCATATTGGATTGCATCATCACTGTATTTTTCTATTCACAGAGTCAGTATCTTAAGAAAATTGAGTTGCAAAACAGGGTCTTTGTCGAGAAAATGGGACTCTATTGGAATCGATGCGATATTAAAATATGTATGGTGTTTTCTATAAAAACATGAAATTCCAGGAAATATTCATCTTCATCGGACTTCATTTATAATTGAAACTGCTAAAATATTTGGGAAAGCCTTTTTGCAGGTGTTTGAATCATTTATTGCTTCGGAGTAGGTATTTTATCCCGATTAAAAAGAATCGATTGATTCGATGTTGACAAACGCATTACCGACTCGTTGACAAACACGTATACGGCTTTGATCGCGAGTAAAGTCCAAAAATAAACGACATACATCAATTTATTATGTATATATACATAAGGAATTTAAGTATATATTTTATACATATATAAATTTATTTATATAAAAACATTTTTTTCCAAAACCAGTCAGATAAGAAATTTGAGTTAAAGTATATACTACTTAATACTTTCAAAAAAATCGTTAAAATTCTTTTCAAAAAAATGTTTTGACAAGACCTTACGCGATCTAAATTTGATCTAAAATAAAATAATCCATCGAACCATAAACTGATCTATTTAAAATAAAATAACATATTTAAACAAGATTACTTCTTGTCCCTCTAAGCGCTTTTTAGCATCGCAAGATTGGCCTTTAAAATTCGAATTTGTAATTACTTCAGCTCTTTTAAACTATAATCTGGAGTGATACGCGCGCGCTAGTTTATTTCAAAAACAATATATTGAAAAATGCCTGTATTTAGGTACACTTTAAAACGTCTATTAATAATTATATTTATATAAGTATTTAAAGTATCATTCAAGATATACATTGGTTATCGACATAGATGGATGTCAAGATTACGTCTGCTCTGCGCGCTGTCTAGATTTAAACGGCCACGAAAGCCGATAACACAACGAGACCACCTTTATTCGGGAGCCACCGATTAATTCTGTCGTCTGCTAATTGTGCAGTGATGTAATGCCGGGAAAACACAAAGTGGAATCGCAGTCATCGAGATCGTTGTCTTCGCAAGAAAGGGAGAGGGGTCGTTCGATTGTTGACACCAAGCATTAAAGAGGATTGATTTTTCATCCGATTGATTGTTATCGAAAGGATTGCTGTTTCTCGGATTATCAATTCATTCGGTGAGTCGTCAGTGTAGTATTTCCTTCGGCGTAGATCTTCTAAACATCTTTTTGGTATCGCGAGATATTGCGCGGCGACTTGGGTATTATCTCGAGAACTTTGTAACTTTTATTTTATTTTGAACAAAATTTTAAAGAATTTTGATTGTTACCCCGTTGTGCAATGAAATTGTTCGACGAAACGTTGACTTATTTTCCAAACTGTTTACGGTTAGATATAATACGTTTTTATATACATTTCCTATCGCGAAATATCGTGCAAGAGTAAAGAGAGAGGACAGATACATTTCTCACCCTCCCCAGAGAGACGATGCTGAAGAGGCGCGTGCGAAAGTCGTCGACCTTGAAGTGCCGCGAAAGCTCCTTGGAATCGGGACGGGATGTGCCGACGAAGGGGCGCGATGTTTCTTCACGGGTAACAGCGGCCTCGACATTCACCACTTTCGGTGGCCGCGACCCTAACTGCCTCGGGTACGATGCGATATTTAGACGAATATGGGCCAATGGCAAAAGGAATGCGCAGGGTCGACAGTTGATTCTTTAGCGCCACGATAGATTTCTCGGTGAGAAACGCCCGAATTAACTGTATTGTACCGTTATCGAGATGATTGAAAAGAATCGTCGTTCTTCTTTTCTGTAAAATCTTCGGACGAAGCCAACGATCCGAGAAAACTTCCTTCTTATTGTCACGTGGAAATAGAAACCGACGAGCTAACTTTCTAAACGAGATGCACAATCTAGCAAAGTCCCCTATTATGAGATGCGCTTTTAATACGAAACGAGTTTGCTAAATTAATAGGCGTCATCTGTTGGCTCCATTATGAATTTATTGCCTTTGGAGTGAAATCGCTTCTCTCTTGTTCAGCGGAAAATGCATTGTTAGATCGTGCATGTAATTGTTGCTAAAAAAGATTTGTAAAATTGGATGCTGAAAACCTGTTGTCTCACATTAGGAACCTATCTCGTAACGGAGGACTTTCCCCAATCATTTAAAAACTGTGCATAAATGTATATGATACAATTTCAAAAACTATACAACTCTACGTTTATGTTGTTTGTGCAACGTACGTTAATAAAAGTAGAATAAGGAAGAAATAAGAGCCCTAATCAATATCGCTAAGTAGCGTGTGCAACGAAAACGTTGTGGAAACATACAGAATTGCGGTCTTTCATAATAAAAAGAGTCGATAAGACTTAATTAGTTCACTCTAACTAAAAGATTGTTCTGATTAGTAGGAAAGATCTCGGGGCTGTACAATTTAATTTCCAGTCTTCCTACGACAAGGGCGACAGCTTTTTGCATCTAGCATTACCGATTTAAATGCAATTTACTTAATTAAAATTTAATTAATATACAATTGCATCATTTTCTCTCTTCCCAATGAATCGGTATGTACAGTCCGAATATTATTGCTGTTAATAAATTGGATACATGCGAGTATATCTTAATTATTATTTTCAGAGTGAGGACTTCTCAAAAATATCTCCGATCTGTTCTCTCGCGCCGGCCCTGCGGAAGCGATTGGCGCGTGCCGGGACGCACCCGGGATGCCTTAATTAGAACAAGTAAGGTATGAGCGAAAACTATTAATTGCAACTCTATTGACGTCGGCCCAATCGACGGCAGACATTTGCCCGGTCGTGAAGCGCGCACCTTCCATCCGCCTCATTGAGCTCCAGCTCGCCGGACCCTCGAAATCTTGGGACCTCAAGCTCTCCTGGAGCCGTCTGTAACTGCACACGTAGACTCTGCGAACATTCGGAGGATCTCGCAAAATATGAGATATTAGAGAAATGTTTCCGGTGTGTAAGAAAGCCCGGGTACAAATTATTTGAGCGACACTACATTGCTGCTCGACGGCATTTCGTCTCTTCGGGATCTCCGGGACTTGTCGCGACCTTGACTCCCCGTATTTGCGGTTCACGATAGGAAATCCCGTTGGCATCCACCCGCTGGCAACCTATCGGCGATAATACGTCCCCCTCGAGTGTTTAACACCATCGACGATATCAACGACGGCACGGCGACGACAATGAATATTGATCCCCCGCGGTTTAAAAGCGCGCGGAAAATAGCACCGCGCGTTAACGAAGCGCTCCTCTGACGCGCGGACTCGCGGACGTAATTTCCTGCGAGGAAATTGTATCCTGCCGCATTCGTTTGCGTTCTTTTAAAAGGCCGGGTGAGGGTGGTTTCAATCGGCTTCGCTCCGTCCTTCGGAGAAATAAACCCGCGTCTCGAAGTGTATTACTTCCGAGGACGGAAAACGTGGATTGATTACGGACGTTTTGTAGACCCTCAAAGTCCAGAAATAAAAATTCGAGGCAGCGAAGGGAGCGAGGCCATTGCCATTTCGAGTTTCGAATGCTGCCGCTTCGCGATCTCTGCTCGCATTGAACGCTATACATTATCCCCTTTTCACAAGAGGCCTTTCGCTTCTACCACGACGTATCGATTTTCAAGAAGAGGAAACTAATCAAGATAAAGTTACTCTGGGGAAATTGTAAGATATTAAAATCGCGTTGGTTCGTGTGGTCTTAAGAAATTCGTTTGTAGATGTGAAAAGAGGAGAAAAGATTCGGCAGCCCCCCGGGTGCTAAGAATTAGATTTTGCAGCGGCGTTCTGAAGAGGGTTTAGGAAACTGGACACTGTTAAAGCTTCGTCTGCGATATCGAACGTGGAACGTCAGCGGCCACGAAGACCTACAACGTTCCGTTGCGTGAATGGCCTTGGTCGAAGTTGCGTATTAGGCCGATAAACGGTGTGCCGATCGATACACCGTTGTCCCCATAAAGCCCGTTTGTTCCCTTATTCGTGCCGCCGTTTTCCTCGTAATTTATTTATTTAGCGAAAGCGAGGTAGCGCAAGAAGGGGAGACGAAATGAATGAACTTCCGTGTTTGCTCGATTTACTTTGAGACGTATTTACCGCTATACGCAGTAATCGGATTGCATGTGCCGGGAGAGAAAGAGAGAGATGTTCCTCCCCTTATTGGACATCGCGTAAACCTCCCGCTGTTACCACGAAGAAAAATGCAACAGCAAAGTCCAACGAATCTCCCAGATTTACTCGTAGAGACAAAATGATCGCCCGAGCTGTACGATACTAAGGGCGAGAAATCTTTCCCTCATTCAATTGTAAGAGAATTGTTTCACTATTACGCTAACATTCTGTCACGGCTCTTTAGTCCTCATTCGTTCGAATTTGTGTTTACCACACGAGAGCCTTATGAGTTTTACTGATTTGTTGTTTCAATATTCTTTACAATTATTAGAGAAAAGTTCCCTATTACGTAACAGGCTCCTAATATGAGGCAGCGGGGGTTCTGCTAACCCGCAAAGCATGTAATATTACAGTAATATCACGTTGAATTTGAACGTTGGAAACCTACTGTCTCATGTTAGAATCCCATCTCATAATAGAGGACTTTCCTCGACACAGTAATCCTTTCTTTTTTCTTCAAGCAGATCGATTTCGCGAGACGACTCCTAATTGCAGATTTAAACAGATCTCGTCGGTCTTGAGATCGTTTTTGCAACTGAAATGGCTTACCTTGGTACGTCATTTAATAATTCAATATACATTCTGTACGGTAATGATAAAGTAACCCTTTCTTTTTTCTGCAAGCAGATCCGTGACTCTGAATTTAAAGATTTAAGCATCAGTCTACAGGTCTGCCTTGGTATGTCATATAATATATTCAATATATGCTTTTGACGATAATTATAAAGAAATGCTTTCTTCTATTTTGAAGCAGATCGATTTCGCGAGGTGACTCCTAGTTACGGACTTAAAACGGCCGGTCTCCGGATCTCGGCTTGAGATCGTTTTCGCAATGGTTTGCCTTGGTACGTGTCAACCAGGAGATTTCAGGGGCAACGAGCTACCCTCTGATCGGTACACGGAAAGCTCATTTCGACGAGTCGCGCGAGTGCCTCTCCTGAGATTGCGCGGGCATTTCTCGAGCTTTCGTGCTTGCTTCCGCAGCGAGGTTGCAGCGGGGGTGCTCGCTCGGACGATCAGTCGTCCGTCGTCCGTCCGCGTTCGCGCTTTCACGCGCGGGTCGCGATGTGGTCCAGTCAACTCGTAAACGACTCGTATTTCCGCCGAAATTCCGCCGACGATTGTAGAATGAATGGGATCGAGAGTTCCTTGTGCCGTCTCTTGTTGCTCGGACTATTCATATTTATTATGTAATTGATGATATAATATGCAATGTGACGCGGAGTTTTCTAATTTCAAAGGATCTACCTGCCTCGCGCATTAACGACAGATGTAATAATAAAATCGTGGTCAATCGATAAAGGATTGGGACTACATTTCTATTTACTTTACGGCTGATTTATTTCCTATTTATTGAAACTAATGAAAAATTATAAAATGGATTCTCTTATTAAAGCAGCTCTGCTGTCTACCTCTGACAAAGATTATTAAGCAACAATAAGTTTTTTTTTCTAGTTGGCACTTGTAATAGTTCGCGAGGAAAACGATGAAAATTACGGTTCGATCAGTGACACGTTTTTGAACAATGATGCACCTCGACGCACTCGAGTGTCCCACCGTTACATCGTTCATCCTGTGTCGCGCGAGATAAGGGCTGACCATGGTGGATAAATTGCACGAGTACGAGGGACTCATGGGTAGGATTCACGGTGTCCGCGACACCATCAGGGAACGATGGGGCGTGTGGAAAGAGTGGAAGGACAATCTGAATCTAGATCAGGGCTTGGACGGGTTGAGGCATCATCTGCGGGGACCGCCCAAGTTAGAGCGCACTTTGGACGACTATTCTCACATCTACAGGTGAAGAATTCCACGTTCAGCTCTGAAACGTACATCAGTATATTATCAGACTAATTCCTTTGTTCTTGCATATATGCATAACATAATAAATATTATATATAATACCGTTTATATCATCGAAAGAAAATTATCGGCAACATAATTAGAACATAATTAGAAGTTTTGTTTTATTAATGAGAAATATGATTTTATAAGATTGAAAATATGTACGATTCGCATTCGAACCAGTTAGATTCGAAATTTTCAACTAGTTGGAATCATAGAAATTCTAATTCTAATCAAATCTCATTCGACTCGATTAATTCGTATTCGAATAGTTCACACATCTCTAAGCATACACAAAAATATTTAAAACAATTATGTACGTATATTGCAGTTCAATATTATGACATCATATTTACATTCGCATTTAATAGAAATATATATTATGCTGATATGTGGTATCAGGTCTATTTCTCCCTACTGATTTTCCCAATAAACCCAGAAAGAAGAGTCGCGCCGAACTGGTGAGGGTATCAGCGGCCGTCATGGGGATCGAGTTCTCGTACGCGGCGGAGACCGCTTTCGTCTCGCCGACGCTCCTGAAGATCGGCGTCGATCACCAGCACATGACGCTGGTTTGGGCGCTGAGCCCCCTCGTGGGTTTCTTCGTGACGCCTATTCTCGGCAGTATGAGCGATCGCTGTAGACTCAAGGACGGTAGGAGGCGACCCTTCATCCTCCTGTTGGCTCTCGGAGTTTTCATAGGCAAGCCACGGGCTTCTCTTTATATCCTCTCACTTTATTTCATCGAAGGCAGTTTTCTTCAATTATTTGCCACATCCGCCGGTCTCGTCCACGAATAGACGTTTCTACGACGTATACTTGAGCATCGACGGGCGAGTGGAATTTTTGCATTTTCGCAGGACTCATCTTGGTACCGAATGGCGAGCACCTTGGCTACGTGTTCGGCGACATGCCGTTCCGCACGAACGAAACGATCCCGCTCGGACATCGCACAACGGCCAAGCTACCCGAAGAGGTGACGCCCGAGTCCGCTGCAAGGGCTTCCTCGCACTCCTGGGGCATCTTCTTCACTATTCTCGGCACGGTGTTGCTCGACTTCGACGCCGACGCCTGTCAGAGTCCAGCGAGGGCGTATCTCCTCGATGTCACTATACCTGGTATATAGCCACGCGTTCTTCCAGGACTCGACGCAAGTCCCGTTCGAATCGATAAGCTGAAAGAAAATTTCATCTTTTCAAATACGAACGCGCGACGTTGAATAAAAACGAGCGAGGAATAATTATACGATTTGACTTTGGAAACTCTACATGCGAGTTTTCCATTTGATCAACGTCGCAAATATTCGCAGAGGACCATGCCAAGGGCCTAAGCACGTTCACCGTAATGGCAGGCTTGGGCGGCTTCATGGGCTACGGCTTGGGCGGCATCAATTGGGACGTCACGTCTCTCGGTGTTATGCTGGGCGGACATCTGCACGCGACCTTCACTCTCATCACGATCATCTTCGTCGTCTGTGTCATATGCACCATCACCAGTTTCAAAGAAATCCCTCTCGAGCTACTCGAGCGAGATCAGTACCGACAAATGGACGAGCCGAAGGTGAGAACTTCGCTTCTACATGCGATACTATATCACTTTAATTTCTCCTTTAATAAAATTCCTTACGCACTTAGACTCCGAAGGAAGCTCAAGGAACAGAGAAGCAAGACGAACGCGAGAAGATTATTCCTGACGAGTCGAGGATGTACGGTGCGCTCAATACTGAGCACGAGACGGAGCCCTCGCAAGCGGAAGTAAGCTCGAAAATCGTTATTTGCCTCGATATTTTATAGAACGGCATTTCTCATTCAACGGTTCTCATTTCATCCACAATTTCGTAAGTTGACCGAACCATTTAACTGCCTGGTCTTCGTAAACGAGATTGAGAAACTGATGGATGCATTGTTTGTATAGAAAAAGATTGTTAATAAACGCTATGGTACAAAATTACCAATCAATGAATTCGCCCTCCGAATTCCAGACGCAACCCTCCGACCGTCCGGAAGAATCGGTTTCCGAAGGCAGCCACGTTAATTACGGCTTCGACGATGTCGAGGGTGAAGCGAACCACAAGGCGAGCCTGAAGGAGTACCTGCTGTCCATCGTTTACATGCCGTACAGTCTTCGCCTGGTGTGCTTGACGAATCTGTTCTGCTGGATGGCGCACGTATGCTACTCCCTGTACTTCACGGACTTCGTGGGCGAGGCAGTGTTCGGCGGGAATCCGCGGGCACCCGCCGACACCGACGAGAGGGAGCTCTACGAGGAGGGCGTGCGATTCGGGTGCTGGGGCATGTCCATGTATTCGCTGTCCTGCTCGTGCTACTCGCTGATCATCGAGCGGCTGATCCAGCGCTTCCGAGCGCGCAATGTGAGGGCTTCTTATGTCGAGATCGATATTTTTAAATCTATCCTTCTTAAAGCTTACAGAGATATATACACGAGACTTATAAGTCTCGAGACTTATAATGGAAACATTTCAGGTTTACATCTACGGGCTGCTCTTCTACAGCGTCGGCATGCTCCTGATGGCCCTGACGCAGCACCCGATCGGCGTCATCGTCTTCTCGTGGACCGCTGGCGTCATGTACTCCACGCTGTTCACCATGCCCTATCTACTTGTGGCGCACTACCACGCGTCCTCGACCTTCGCCCTGACGACCGCGGACGACGCGGTCTCCGGCGGCTTTGTGCGCGGTCTAGGGACCGACGTCGCCATCGTCTCTTCCATGGTGTTCCTCGCGCAGTTCCTGCTATCCTGCTGCCTGGGCACGATCGTCAACCTCACGGGCACCACCGCTGCGGTGGTTTACGTCGCCAGTATTCTGGCGATGTGCGGCGCGGCCTCGGCTACGCAGATCATGTACCTGGACCTGTGAATTTTGCTCGTCGATTAATTAGAATTTTAAGCGTTACGGTCAGTCATGATGTCTCGTTAATTATCCATGAGTCCACTTCGCAGAAGAAACTAGAATAATCGTTACGTTAACGGATACAAAACGTTCCATTAGTTGCGGATAATGTGAGCTAATGTGTTAGAAATCCAGGAGAATAGGTTTGTAAGATAATCATAGCCAATTAATCATCATTATACTAATCGTTAATCAATAATTGTCAATTTTAGTGACCGTTTCGTCCGTTTCGCGCCAAGCAACTTTGATGTTATCGTCTTAACGTATATTTTACTAGCGCATAAACTGGTTAATACTAATTTCATTAATAGTACAAACTGCTAAATGTTTCAGAAATATACTGCGTTGATTAAACAGTTATCTAAATATTTATTCGCTCTAAACTGGTACATATATCTTCATTAATAATGAAAGAGGACGGATGTGTATACAATGTATAACAAGTAAACAATCGATCAATATACAAGTTGAACGAGGGATGATTCATGTGCGAAGATTATTGATGCACTTCTCCAAGATGTCTTTCCTGATCCTCGGATAATCCGAACTTTGCTTCAGCACCTCGTTGCACGCCTCGATAGCGTCAGCGTAGGCTTTCGCCTTCAGGCAGCAGTAGGCCAGCTTGTATCCGACCGACAGCTTTGTTTTACCGCCGTATTTCCACGCCTGAGCGTATCTCACCGCCGCGTCGCGATAATTCTGATCCTTCTCGGCGATGTAACCTGAAAGTGAAGACACGTCAAAACCGCGATCTGTTTTCCTCGAGCAATAGTATGCAACAGAATTTCGCAATTAAAATCCAAGTGCGATTAAACTTTTTGTGCATTTAATTAGTTCGTAATTGTGAATCACAATCTAACCCGACAGCTCGTGGGCCCGCACGCAGGTAGCGTTGTGCTGCAGCACTCGTTTCAGCAACTCATTTGCCAGCTCATACTTGCTGGATTGCACATAGATGTCCGCCAGCAGCAGCCAGCAACGCTCCAGGTATTCAGCGTCCTCGAACGTCCAAACGTTCTTGCTAACGCGCTTCAAGTGATTCCGGGCTCGCGGCGTTTGCTTCAGCAAGATGTGCGCGGTGGCCATACCGAGGGCGGGCCCTACATGATCCCTCAGGGTCTCCTGACTAGCCAACGCAGTGCAGTCTTGCAGGGCTTTCTCGATGTTAGACTTCTGCTTGGTGGCCAATAAGAAGAAGTTGCTGAGGAGCTTATGGGTCAATTCCTCGTGAGGGCTGCCCTTGGGATTCAACTCCTGCAATAATGTATTTTTTATTTGAGTAATTAAAATTGAAAGATATTTTAATAAAAGCTTCTGGTGGTTTTTTGGTAGCGAGAAAACAAGTGAGAAAAGAATGAGATTCGTACGTAAGTGTTAAGAGACGACATTGATATTGAATATACCTGAAGCAGTCGGTAAGCCGTTCTCAGAGCCATCGTCCTTGAATCCTGATATTCGGCGTCCTCGTCGTTGAAGGCCTCGTTCGACAGAGTGGTGTCGTCGTCCGGATCCAGACAGATCTCGATCATATTGTAGATCGCCTGTTGGCCCCATTCCGGATCGCGGCGTGCAAAGTTGAAGTTGCGAAGAGCGGAGTTCAATTTGCCCGTCCGCCAGTCCAGCAATCCGGCGCAGTAGTAAAAGCCGGCCTCGACGTTGCCGCCAGCCGTCTCGACCTGCGCGCGTTGCAACCACTCGTCGAGATCGTCCATAGCACCTACGACACGCATCGATTCCTCATTAAAATATTTCGAGCGAGAGTGAACAGTTTAACCAAGTGCGAAACCTGTTCTACGCGACACTTCTATCAGTCTCGCCAGGGCAGTCCAATACGTGGGTTGGCGTATCAGCAACTGCCGAAAGTGGAATGCCGCGGTCTCGAAGTCTACCTTCCGGAACGCGAGATCCGCCATCATCACGGACGCAGCCTCGTTGTTGGGATCGGCGTTCAGCAGAATGGAACAATTCTGCGCGCACCGGTCCAAGTTGTTCATCTGATGAATATGTTACATATTCATATTTATGTCGGTGTGGGAAAGCTCGCTAATCATTTAAATTAACACGAAAGCTTTGTTTGATGCCTCCGGTGACATTTCCATTACAAATCAAGATAATTATTCACCTGCATGTACAGCTTCGCCAAGGAAAGTAGGGCATTCACATCGGTTGGCTTATGAGCCAGTGCCTCCTTATAATATACAATAGCTTCGTCATAATTGCGTAAGGTCGACGCGTAATCGGCCATCGTCAGGCAGATGTTTGCCAACATGTGTCTCTGATCCGCGACGTCCGGCGAAACGGCGAGACGCTGGATGTACCTGTGTTGATTCTCCTTGGCCTCCTTCAAAGTCGCCAACGCGCCCCTGATGTTGCCCGACTTTTCGCGCACCTTGGCGAGTAACAGCAACTCTTGCCCCCGCATTTCCAAGCTCAGGATGTCGGACTCACCTCGCTTGTCTGAATATAAGAAAAATTAACAATAATGAAAACATGGACCGACATAAGACAACATGAAATAATAAGACTAATGCGAGCAAGACGTAGGTAGCCTAATGGTGTGAAATTTTTGTGAATTGTATGAAAAAAAAATTAAGATAGATATGTTAACTCAGTATATCATTATGAATGAAAATAAGCAGATGATTTGTCAATATTATTTAGTATAGTTATAAGTATTATTAATTTTGTACATAGTAATCACATTTCATACATAATGTCAATTTGAGAACAATGTTAATTTTAATATAAGTAAAATTACCTTGCAGCTCTTGCACCAAAGTGGCTTCCGCCTTGTCGTACTGTTTCATCTTCATGTACAATTTGGCTAGGTCTAACTTTAGAGCGGAGCAATTGTCCTGCTTCACGATATCCTTGTAATAACTGATCGCTTTCGCATATTGATGCGCCTTGACGAGCGCTTTGCCCATCTTGGTTGCAATATCCACCTTGTTGATCGGATTTTGCGAAAGCGCCTGCTCGTACGCTTCTATCGCTCTCTCGGGCTCCTGTATGGACATGTAAGCGTTACCCAGCATACTGTGCGTCCTCGGTCCGGGGCAATGCTCCACCAATTCTCTAAAAGGCAAATATCAGCGATGTTTAATAATAATATTCATTTCAAGAGTCCCATACATACAACATATTCAATAAATATAAAAATTAGCTAAAGAAATGTCAAATGGATGATAAAGATTAAATTATTCGTACTTGAAACACCTGGCGAAGGCCTGACGATCTTTCTTATAGTTCAAATTGATCTCAGCCAGTCTAGTGTGTGCCTGTAAGTAATACGGCTGTCCCGGGCGGATGTTCTGCAAGCAGCTGACAGCGTTCTCCAGTTCTCCTATGTCCAGGTAGATCTCAGCAGTACCAATGGTGATTCTGCCAAGCTCAGCGGTGCCGGCGAGATTTGCTTTCGCCTCGTCGACAAGCGCCAGTGCTTCAGCAAACCGTCTTGCCTTGCTATACGCCGCAATCAGCTCTAAATACAACGTCGCTCGGTCGGATGTGGACATGTCGGATTTCCTACTGGCGCTGCCAGTCAATCCTGCCAGCGACATGGCTGTCTGGCAGCTCTTAACGCAGTTCTGCAGATCACCAGCCTCTCGTTGTACCATACCGACGATCATATGATAGATCGCCTCGTCTCGGATCTTAAAGTTATAGCTCAGGCCAACCTCCAGGCTCTGCGAAGCCAGCTGATACTTGCCCTGATACGCCAGGATCTGAGCCATTGTCAGATGGGCCTGGGCGTTGGACGGTTCCACCGAGTCCAACAATCTCCTGAGCAAGACCAACGCACCCTCGTAGTCGCCGCTCTGCATTCTGGCCTTACTGAGCAGCAATAGAGCTACGCTGAAACCCGGACAGGCTTCCACCAGCTGTTCCAACAAGCGGACGCTCGGTTCCTTCTCTGTTGCGCTACCCAGCTTGAAAAGCAGAACAGAATCAAACGAGATTGATACAATCTTATACTTCTGACGTCATAATCCAGTAATAATAATAAATAAAATGTATTCGTTTTCATTAATTTCCTTAAGAAGACACTAGTTACCTCGTCGCTCATCGGGGACTTGTTCAAGGAATACATCAGACGTTGCTTCGCAATTTCAAGGCATAAATCCGGTTTAAGCTCGCTAAGGTACGCGTACCCATAAGGAAGACCCGCGCAGCTCTTCAACAAGACATTCGCTGCCGCGTCCAAGTAACCGAGTGCCTTAATGCTGTTTTCCTTAGAAGTGATCTTTGCGGACACGAACAGTAGCTGCACGTTCGTCGAGTGTGGCTGTATCTCCATCATGATCTCCACCTGTGACGCGCAAGATAAACTCTTCTGTAACGCCTACTCGATCAGTCACACCAACTGGTACGTCTAGAGATTACTCTATCGGAGGAAGGTATATGCATTTATTATTTTTGAGTGCATCCGTTGATTCATTTACCTGCTGCCGCGCTTGGTCCAGATCCTCCGTGGACCCCTGCAACAGCTGGCAGCGTGCCAGTCCCAAGAGCGCCGCGAAAGAGGACGGATCCGCGCGGATGGTGTTCTTGTACCAGCGCTCGGCGTCTTTGACGTTGCCCAGCGCGACATACAAGTCACCCAGTTCCGTCATCAGCTCCGCGCTGCTCGACGCCGTCGCCTGCAGCATCTTCTCGGCCGACCGCGCCAGCTCCAACAGAATCCCGTGGTCCTGGAGCGCGACGCTGGAGAACAATCGCAAATTCTCGATCAGCAGGAACATGTTCTTCGGTTCGGCGAGCAGCAAGTTGCGCATAAATAGCTGCAACTGCGGCAAGCCCTCGCTGGGATTGCCGTCCCTGCACAGAGCCACCACCGAGCTCGCCTTGATCGCGTCCAGGTTGTTCGACTCGATCGAGAGCACTCGGTTCACCATCTCCAGCACCTGCTCCCAGTCCTTCGCTGCCAGCAGGCACCTCATTTTCTCTACCAGCGGAAGCGTCAGTTTGGGATAGCGCACGATCAGAGAGTTCAGTATCATGACGGCACCCGAGTAGTCCCCGGCGCGTTGCTTCGCCTCCGCGAAGCCTAGTAACGCGCTCAGATTCCTCGGCTCCTCTTTCAGGACCGAGTCGAAGGCGTTGCCCGCCTCCGAGGCGTCCGTGCCCGATCTCAAGCCGAGCTCCAGCCACCCCTTGACGAGCAGCACGTTGATATTCGTGGACTTGAATTTGCACGCTCTGTCCACGTACTCCTTCGCCTTGTCCGCCCGACGGGAGAGGAGCAAGACGGACGCCGCCAGGCACAACGCGACGCAGGAGGCCTTTCTGCGCTCGTCCCGGATCCTGTTCTCAATCTGCGTGACTGCGCTCCTCTCCACGTCGCCGTCAGCCAGAGCGACGTTTTGCACGAGCAGCGCCGGCAGCGTGACATCCGCATAGTTCAGCAGGCTGGCGCTCTCCTTGACGGCCTCGTGGCTCTTGCCGACGAGGATGTACGCCAGACAGAGCAGGAGTCGCAGCCGCTCGCTGTTCGGATAGGCGTCGCGCGCCTGCCTAGCGTGAGCCAGCATGCCGTTATAGTAGTGCTGCCGGCAGTGCCACTCGATCAGAGCTGCGTGCTCCGCCTCGTCCATTCTTGCCTCGGTCTTATATCCGGTCTATTATATTTCAACTCTCTAATCTATCCTGAAACAAAGGTATGTCAATTAAAATATAGAAGAGCCCTAGTAGCACAGTGCATTGACCAAACGTTGGTTAAACATTGGCCCAATATTTGGTTGTACTGGGCCAACGTTTAGACAATGTTCGGTGAATGTACTGTACTATCGAAGACAGCCCTCCTTATCCTTCTGAATCCTCTTAACGGAAATTTCTTTTTTGGATCCTGAAAAGCCTTCTTAATATATGAATGAGACAGACCAGAAGAAAATTAAAGGTGAGTTGAAGAAATTATTCCATTCGCTGATATTAACGAACGAGCCACCCGAATTCGCATATCATTAACGTACCATTCATGTACACGCGTTACAATTTTATCTGCATGTATATGTATATTTTTATTATTATATACTTTTTATTGTCATGTTCAGCGCTTACGTCGACATCCTCCGGCTGAGAAAAGTCTGTGCTGTCGTCCGACGCGCGTGAATCCGCCGTTGAACCGCGGAGTTCCTGCGTTTGTCTTGACACATGGTGAATACGATGATTCCCATTTATCCACACGACGATTCCTCACTCACATGCTGCCGAATGTCGAATTAATGATACAGAAACGACAAGAACGTGACGGTGACAGGTCGTATGTTGGCGACGCCGTTGCTGTGGCAACCGCTAGGTTACGCACATGCAGCCCGCGTTCACTCGGCTGACTCTGGAGCGGTAATTCGAAATCCTCGTTCGCGTTGCACGAAATACGATGAGTCGTAATAAGCGAATAGTAAAATGCAACTCGAGAGAAGAATTGCGTAACTTGAGTATATCGTACATAATGAATGTTGAATCATAAATCGGGTAGATAAACGCCGCATACCCCGGAATATGTATATTAAAATAAACATTGAATGAATGTCGGAAAAGCAATCACAAAGTAAATATATATCGAATAAAATGGATGCCCAGAAACAAATCAGAAGAAATAATCACTCAAAAAGTGTAACAAGAATTGTATTATGTACATTAATATTCAATTAGAAATATTCATGATCCGATCGTATATTTAAAATTGTTTGAAGCTTAGAATCGTCTTAAGATCATCCAAGATCAAATTTAATAACATACATGTCCGATCTTATATTTAAGATTGTCCCGAGCCTGATTTTTATCATTTAAAATCTGAGACTCGCCAGGAACATGAAAGATCAGATTTAATTATCATCCTCAGGCGATATTTATACTCCAATGTCTGTCCACGATGCTAGAACTTGGTCCAAGTTTTAGTTCCGTGCAGCTATTCCATAAAAGCTGCAAGTTGATGGGCTACACATTCCTCGGAAATAGAACTTGGACCAAATTCTAGAATCGTGGACACAGGCCTTTAGATGGTCTACATATTCCATCCAACTAATAAGATGACCGTAAACCTTCTCGAAGACAATATTAAAGATAGACAATCTATAAGATCATATTTTGAACTGATCGAACAGTTGCTTAGCTTCTTTTATCCTATTTTAAATCGAGCACGAAACAGAGGAAACATGTACATAAAGCACTTAAAGTTTCAAAAACTGTATTGTCCTAGCAAGCTATTTACATATTATCCTAGAAGCTATTTTACATATAACAGTAAATCTGTCAGTTTGTACAGAACACAACAAAACCAATTCGCATATTAAAACTTTACAGTAATTTACATTCGTACACATTTACTGATACGTTCTCTTTTTGTAATAAATAGAGTTACGTTTCAACTGAAGAAATATGGAGACGACAGGACTGTGTTGATATCAAATTCACCCTTCTTCGGCACTTTCTTGAAGACCTCTAACGAGACATCGCCTTTCTTCAGCTTCAGATTCCTAGAATTTCCATCGGACGATTTCAATAAGACGCGTTAATCATATCTCAGCTTGGTTCTTACAACTTGCGGTTTTGGAGACATTTTCCAAGGATATTCCAATATTCAAGGTCTTAAAAAATTAAGAACTCACCGCCCGTCGTTCACAAAGAGTACTAAATATTTCTTGCAAAAGAATTTGGACAGATCCTCGAGAATGGGCTCGCTGTGAAGCGCGATGAATTGCTCCCGGCAGATCTGAAAAGTGAGACGTTGCGTGTTGAGAACTCATCTGTGTATACAATAGTAATGTATATATAACTCCATGATAATTTCTTACGTTGTTCATAATATCCACTGTGCATGGATGCGTCCAGAAACAATCGTGCACCGACATAAACGTGATCCCCGCCTGTTCGGAATGCAAGCTCGTCAACATCATGTGGCACGAGTCCAACGAGTGAACGAAATTCGGCGCAAAGGCGTTCTTCTGCTTCACAGTGTCCAACTTTCTGTAGGTGATATTTTTGTTAAGTAAACTTTATATTTAAAAAAACCGCGTGTGTATAAAAGTAAACGCGAGAGATACAATTTCAAGAAGAATTGACTGTTACAGAAACAAGAATTTTCGCATTTTCCAAATTTTACACTCGTACAGGAGTGAGTACGAGAAATAAGTAAATGTGTAATAACGAAACACGAGCGTTAGTGCGCTCACCTGAAAACCTTGACTTTCGAGTCAACCGTCTTATTGTGCTTGGAGTAGGGCTGTATGACCGGAAGGCCCAACGGCGTCACCCACTGCACATACTGGTTGCACCTGATAGTGATAACGCGGGCGCAATCCGTAAACCAATTCTGTATCTCCTTCGCGCTCTCGAACATGCTCTGAAGGGACAGAAACGTCTTTTCGACCAGATACGTGCTGCCGCTCAGAACGTACTTCTGATCGAAATCCTCCAAATCGCTCAGCTGCCTGGCAATCTGCAGCCTGGCGCCGAACTTGGTCACGCCGTACACCGTGGTCATCACGGTCTGCTTCATGACTTTCCTGCTGACGTGCCCTTCCAGGGCCTTGGCTATCTCGTTGCCGTCGGCCGCGTCCGCCTTCCTGTACTCGTCGACCAGGCCGGCGACGACGCTGTACACGTCCTGCGGTCTGTCCGAGGGATACAGGTTCACGCTTTTCGCTCCTATCAGATCCCTGCCGAGCGCGGCGTAATGCTGCAAGCCGTTACAGCTACCGTCCTGATGTATGGGAAGCCGGCAGACGTACTGCTCCACGTTCGGGGAGTGCAAAGCGTTGTCTATCTCCTTGCACGCCGCCAGGGTTTGCCACGGCTCATCGGCCTTGGCCCACCACATTTCTCCTGTCAAGGGATTCCTCGCGCTGTCCACGATCAGGTCCAGAATCTCGTTCGCGAACTCCAGCCGCTTGTGCATCGGCTCCCTCTTCTTCAAGCCGGTCATGTTTATCGTGTGAATCTTCAGCCAGTCGAAACCCTTTGGACCTAGGGGCTTGCCCTGGGCGAACATGAGGATCGAACGGCCCAGGTCCGAGCTGAGATGAGTCAGATGGGGCGGTATCGGGTAAGCTCTGCCTCTGAAGTCCAGATTGTGCGGCATCCAGAATATCTTGTCTCTGAAATGATTGGCGATAGACAATTTGTAGAGGCAATCGCACCACAACGAGTGCATTTCGTTTCTCGTGCGCCTGAGGTGAAGCAACAGCTTTGCGATCTCTCTAGCATTCCTCTCCGTCTTGCTCGCGAGCACCTCCGACGCGAGTGGGACTACCGTGGATGGTTGAGGTACAGTCAATTCCTTCGAGCCTCCGTCTCTGAAAATCTGAATCACGATATCCAGAATGGGCACGTTGATAATCCACGGGATTGAACCGAGCTGGTTGAGGCTGTCGAGCGCCGGATACAGCTGCTTCGTCGGCGTGCTTCTCAACAGGCGCGACGGTTTCATGTAGGGATCGCGAACAAACGCCACCTTGGAGAGCAGATAGCCACCGGTGTTTATGTCTGTCCAAGGACGCGGCGGACAGCACGTCGGCAGGGAAACCGTGTCGAAGGACAGTGTCTCCGGATGCGAGTCCTTGTACAACTTGCTTAAGTAGGGGTGAGGCTTGATCTCTTCCATCAAGAACTTGTTGGAATGGAGCCTGAAGAGCAGATAGAACGCGGGTATCTGCCGCTCGGGCGCGCCAGGCTTGGGTATATGCGGGATCTTCACGTCGTTCACGATGATATTGTACAGAAACTTGCCGACGTTTATCATAGTGCTGTGAGACCACTCCGGCACCGCCATGTCGCAGCAAATGCCAGACTTCTTCGCCTCGTGGACGAGCTGTTGCCACTTGATACGCCCGTTGCCGCACCTGTCCGCGGGATCCTTCTGCATGTACCACTCCAAATACTTCTTGTACACCTGCATGGAGTTCTCTGTGATGTCGTCCTTCGTCTTCCGGTGAAACTCGTACCTCTTGTAAATGTACGTTCCCAGCGTCAGGTAAAGATGCGTCATGGTACAGCTGTAGCCCGTGGAGAATTTTGTCAGTTGGTCGATCTCGCTCAGAATCGCGTTGATGTACTCCTCCTTGGGCAGCACTTGAAGGAACGGATGTAAGATCTTTAAATCCGTCTTCATCTTCGCTTCCTTCTGCTTCAGGTAGGTCAGATTTCTCTCGAAAGCCTCGGCCACGGTCGATTTCCAGGTCTCCTCCCATTCCGTGATCCGTTTGATAGCTTGCTGCCTAACATTGGAATCTCCGGTGAACAAGGCGACGCTCTTTATGCTCACCTTGCACTGCTTCTCCAAGTCGGTCTGCGCATTCATCATATCTGGCAACTCGTCCAAAGTCACTACTCCCTTCGCCGGGCTCTGATTGTTATTATTCATAGTCAGATTTTTCAATAGATTGCAGCTGTGCGCGGTGTCAATGTCTGCGTGCTGTACACGGTACTGCGGATCCAACAATCTTATACAATGAAGAACACTATCACGTTGCATTGCGTTCATCTGCACATCCATTATATCGTCGAAGGAGAAGCCACTACGACTCATGTCTGCCATCACTTCTGCTGCGCTCTCTGCAAGGAGTAAGTTTACATTATATAAACATTGCAAAATTCCCAAAAATAACAGTGTTTTAAATCTTATTAAGTTGATTATCAACAAAATCTCTGCAAATTATGTAGAAACAATCAATGACGTTAACTTCATAAAACATTCGAAGCTTCATTATTTATTGTTTGTAGATGCCCTTTTGTGCATTATATTCGTAATGTATTTTAATTTAATCGAATAACACTGTTTTAACATCTTTATATAAATATTTAATTTTGTCGCTTGTTAGTTGATCTGTCAATTCTTAAATTGCTTTGCAATATACGAGCTGTTCTCCTTTTCATAAAACATCTTGTAAAATAATTATCGCGTGTATTTTCTTTCTAAAAATGAGAAATTTTTACCCAATTTCTTTAAAAAAATGCTTGTTTTTTTTATATACAGGGTAAGTCATACAACATCCGACAAAATTTTTGAGAAGGTAGAATGGATTGAGACGAACAGAAAAGTCCTGTACTATTTTGCAATTTTTGCAATAGATAACGAGTAATTATTAAAAATCATCATAAATTAATCAGATGTAGATTCCCTCGGTTAATTTCGCTTTAATTTACTTTGTCTGATCGCAAATACGTAGCCGGCTATCGCAGCGCGAGTTTAGGCGCCCCACATTATTTTTAAAAGCCCTACAATTCCCATTTACCTGCTCGTTTCTCCCGGTTCGTTATTCTTGCGATTATCTCGAACATAAGAGCGTACGTTTCGAAGTTCGGCTTGACAGAGTCCACCTTCATTATTTTGTAGATCTCGAACGCCTTTTCCACGTGCGTGTTAGAGGTGTGAGTTTTCAGAAGTAAATTATAGAGCGCGACGGTAGGGACTTTGCTGTGCTTGAGATGGGGTTTGTTCAACGTCAGTAACTTGAAGGCCTTGTGCGGCATATTGATTTGCACATAAACGTCCATATGCGCCAATAATTGAGAAATCAGACCGTAATCGGAAAGTTGATTCTCGGACTGGTCCGTCTCGTTCGTAAAGGGAATTGCGGCATACGAGTCCGAAGTCACGTACTGTGGTGTCTGTATGCTGAAAAAAAGGAGTTGCGCACGTGGTGATAAGACAAAGAATCCCTTCCCCTACGAAATATTCCACCTGCAATCGTACTTACAGCTCAATTATAACAATACTTACAGAACGTCATCCTGATTCGCATCTTTGTCCACGTTTTTGTCAACCTGCTGCAGCATGTCCAGGAAGGAGGAGCCCTTGATTAACGCAGTGTGATTATTTATGCCGGACTCTTTCAAATTCTCCACGACTGCGGACGTGTCGTCCAGTTGCTCGTCAGGTTCCCTAAGTACGGTGCTGCGGATATCGTCCACCTTGCCGTCCTAAAATCGATACATCAATTTCTGCGTGTAACTCGAGCGTCATGACAGTTAAATTATATTCTCGGTACACAATACTCTCCACTCAGTCACGACTCTTACGTAATTCAACACCAATCTGGTTCTTGAAGGTTATGAAAACTTCATCTATTTACCATAGGAATCAAATCCTTTTCAGGCCCAACCTTTTCATTGGTGTCCTTCGTTTGCGTCGTGATCGTCTCCCTCTTAAGGCGAAGATTAGGGATCTTGTGCAGCTTGTCCAGCGTAATGTTAGGCTGCCCAACCAAGAAAGACACCTGAGCGGAGTTCAAGTTGCGTATCGCTGCTTTCCTGTTGTTAGTCGTCTGATCCGTGACTAATGTAGTAACAAGAAAAAACGATCGGTTACCCATTATTCGTTTGCTCCTCGCTTCTTCGTATCACACGTTACTTTTCGTGTACTTGGTCTCTGGACTGGCATACCTTCCAACAACTCTGCATACTTCTTCGAGCGACGTTTCACTTTCTTCTGCAAGGGAGCGTGCAGTTCTACCACGTCAGTTGCATAAAAGCGTATCGCGGTACATCTCGCCGCTGAAAGCAAACGAAAGAAGTTATTACAAAGTTTAGGCAGAAGAGCAGGACCTCAATCGATCCTCCCATTCAATCTTTTTATACCATCGCTATCTCGACGAGGCTTATTTATGTCTAAAACATATCAAGGTGTAAGTACACGTATGTACGTCAACATTCTGCCAAGAAAGCTTGGTTGCAGCCCCTGTTGAGGCCCTTAATACATGACACAGTTGCTTTACGCCAATTAACGTGAAAATAAATCGGAGTAAAATAGCCGGTGAAGCGTAGTTCTTTCCCCGCGACTGATATTAGGAGAAGAGAACAGTCGTGAAGAGGTAAGGGCTGTAATAAAGCGAGAAAGGCCTGAACTCGCGAAGCGGCTATGTAATGCCCGCGATCGTGCGTGAAGAAAACACGTGTTTACGTACCGCGGGACAGGTTGAGATGATGAAAATTGCAGAATGAGCACAATCGATTGGACGGTCCGCACTGAAGAGCCGGCCGCGTTGACATAATACGCGCATTCTGCACCGAGGTGACCCGAGTCTTCAGGAAGTTGAGCATCCTTACGACAACCGCACGGCGCGAGTCATTAATTACCGAAAGCGTCGTCGACGGTGTCGGCAATCGGTGCGACGAGCCAGCCTCGCCGCACGGGCCGCCATAAGCTGATTAACACCAGAGAGAAACCTGAGAGCGGCCACTCCGGTGTTTTACTTGTTACGCTTGTTACCATTTCGCTAAACAGTTTCCAGCGCTTTACGCCCACTTTTATTTTTGAAACTACTCCGCTACGCCCATTTTCAAGCACTGTCGATAAAGTCTCCAGGTAATACTGAAGGAGAGTCTCTCATTCTCCGTTTTTCATGAAAATTCATAGGATCGTGTATTTTTGCCTGTAAAACACGAATTTGCAAGTTAAAATTGTCGCTCGGCACTACTAAGAGAGTTATAAATTGTTAAAATCTGACAGTTGTGAGGTTAGGATACCTGTCGTACCGACACCAACAAACACGGGTGTAGCGGAATAGTTCCAAAAATGGAAATGGGCGTAAAGCGCTGGAATCAGTCGAGCGAAAACGGTAACAGGCAAAACGCCGGGATGGCCGCTCTCAGGTTTCTCTCTGGTATAATGCCCATTCTACACCTAGGGATGATCCTACTTGTGGCTCATCCGATACTCGCTTCTATACCTAAAGCTAACCCTACTTACAGCTTATCCGAGGGAGTAGTATAAAGTGTAAAAGGTTTACACTTTGGTTGGTTTCCAATCGTACCAAAGTACAACTACAGTGTACCTTTTACACTTTATACTACTTCCTCGGATAAGCTGTAAGTAGGATTAGCTTTAGGTATAGAAGCGAGTATCGGATGAGCCACAAGTAGGATCATCCCTAGGTGTAGAATGGGCATAACCAATATGCTCACTCTCTGTCGGCACCTTTGATCTGGGAAAATTGAGAACATCCAGATCAAAGGTGCCGACAGAGACTATTAGCGTTTTCGATTTTCTGACTCGACCCGACTCCGAGTCAGAAAAATTTGATCAAAAGCAAGATTTGAATCACAATTTCTGCAAAAATCTTACTTTTGATCAAACTTTTCTGACTCGGAGTCGGGTCGAGTCAGCAAATCGAAAACGCTATATGTTTACACGGCACTCTAATCGGGTTTAATAACATCCGTAGTTAAAGGGCTGGCCAATCACAGTCATTCCATTCTTCTGAGGAATAGTTGTGATTGGCCAGTTTTATAACTACAGATGTTATTAAACCCGATTAAGCGTTCCGTGTAGCAGCACTCTATGTCTCGTTTCGAAATCGAGTTCAGAGTTCTTGCCAACTCCTTGTGAAACTTCGTTACAAGTAATTAAGTTATTTCTCAACTAAAGTTTCTCAACAAACAAGAAGAATATTACGCGTAATTTGAAGTAGAAATGCGATAAGGGAATTATAAAAATTATTTTAATTTTAATAATACACGGGCGCTACCTTTCCTAACGTTCGAACTCGGAATGAATCTCTCTCACGCCGTGCTTTAAAATCTTCATCGGTTATTAAAATTAATCCATCGCGAAAGTAATACGCGAAATATTGAATAGAGTGTTTTAATTAGCATTTATCGGTGATTTATTAATTCCACCAGTTTATATCCTCTTTACGGAATTATTTATAAGTGAAATTACATTGACTTTAGACATTGAATTTTTAATTCTTTTCAGACATTTGCATTTCGATTAAAGTTGCGTTTATAGTACGCTGTTGATGTTAATATGTATGACCGGTATTCATAGTCAGATCTTATATTCAAGACCGTCTTAAGATCATCTCTAGATACTCCGCAACCAATCAAATGTTCCATACAGCATCTTTAGATAAATTCAAGACGGTCTTGAATATAAGATCCGACTATGAATACCGGCCTATAATTTTTGTGAGATGTTCTTGTATGTACTTAACATCATGCGCATTATGCGTGAAAACGAACACACCTCATATATTATACGCGTCTTCATGCAATACGAACAGACCTATGATTACACGAGATAGGCTCGCTGCACGATCTTGTCATTGCAAGATCGATGCTTGAAAGCTCGCAGCCTGATTGGCCGCTGCTTTCACGTTTGAAAATTGTAACCGTTGCGAATCTAG